CCAACGAGAGTGCTCCCCCTTGAGTTGTAACAAGATGGCCACCATGCTGACCACATGGTCTGAATAAAAGGGCTTTTTAACACGAAGTACCTTTCTTCACTTATTGTTACAAACCACTACACAGATGATGACGAACAAAACGATAGTGGGCGGAGAATAGAAAATGCCAGTGAGGGTGTTACTATACAGATAACGAAGCTCTTCAAAGCGGCTGGTAAATTAAACATATATTTGTACGTGATTATGGACGCGCAACTTAATATACAGAATGGAATATTCGTGCAAGCGATCTATTAATAATCTTTTACCTAAAGAACCGCACTGCGCTGTCATCTGCGGGGAAACAGGTTGCGGAAAAACAGCTTTTATTCTAGATATTTTACAAAATCATTATCGGAATGTTTTTGGTCATATTAGTATACTGTGCCCGACTACTAATGTTAATAAAACATACCTATTGAGAGATTGGGTAATGAATGATCCCGGGGTGTACAAAGTTGATCCAGGCGATCATTTACAAGACTGTTTACGAGTATGTCACGAAAAATACAAAGGCGAATCAACCCTTTTCATAATATACGACTGCAGTGCGAGTAAAGAATTTAGAATTATCCGGACGGCATATGGAGCCTAGCTTTTGGGTACTTACTCAAAAATACAACTCTGTTCTGAAAGATCTCAGAGAGCAGACCAAATGGGTAGCCCTGTTTCATTGTAAAGACCGAGATTCATATGAGGAATGTCTACGATAAAATGATGTTATTTCTACCAAGCTCGAGTGAGATAAAGTTAGAAAACTGTTAGCGGAAACGAAGCACTGTAAATTCGTATTAAAAACCGATCAACCAGCTGCTTATGCAATTGCTTAGCAAAAATAGCAAAATTGTAGCAAAAATATAGCAACTGCTGAGCAAATATAGCAACATCTGAGCAAAAATATAGGAGAATATAGCAACTGCTGAGCAAAAACATAGCAAAATTTGGCAAAAATATAGCAAAATTTCCAAAAATAGAGCAGATTATAGCAAATAATGCGATGAATTGAACATTAGCAGTGTTTATGTAATAATGTGGTTTGAAATACTCATTCTTTCGCAACAGTTTATTATTTCGGGCTGTTTTGGATATGCAATATTTTATTGTGTTGGACTTAAATATCTCCTTAGGTATTACATTATGGAATCAGTGTCCAACCCAGACCCAGTCTCCCCTATTTTGTACATGATGGGGGGACAAGTCCCCCCTTGATTTTCAATTCTGGGTTGGACGCTGTGGAATGCGGTGAACTTATCGAACAACTGCTCCAAGATGAGCCCGTAGTTACAGATCAACATAGCGATCAACATAAAGAAAGACTCACGGCTTTGGTAGCAGGTGGAAAATGTTCCCAATATTTGGGGGAAATTTTTTCCACTGAAAAAATTGATAACATGACCGACGAAGAAATTAAAAAACTGTACGCGAGTTACGAGTCTAGACTGGGAGCTACCATGACTAAAACAATATGTTCAGCTATGTTACAACTATACACAGTTGTAGCTAGTACGTTTCTTCCTATCCCGGCAGAAAATCGCATGTATTTATGCGAATTTCTAGAGGAAGACCCAATCATTGAACACGCTATAAGCGCAGTAAGCTGTGAGTTTTATCATAGATACGAATGTTCCACTTCGAAAAACCACTTTAATAACAGCTAGGTATTGTCAATTTAAACATACGTGCCCACTTACTAATAATGGAGACGGAAATACAACAAGTGAACGAGGAAACACAAGTGATTGTGGAAACACCGATTGCACAATCACCACAAGCGATTGCACCACAAGTCAGAGTGACTAAGAATCCTCGAAAAGTCGCAGCTGGTAGGAAGGGTGCGCTAGCGAGGAAGGCAAAGGCCTACAGTTCAAACACTGAACATAGCCTAATTAAAACTTGGGCTCCCTATGTACTAAGAGTTGTTGCTATAGCAGCGGTATGGTTTTATATAACCGGAGAAGAGAAAACACCACAAGTACAAAAATTAGATGAGGTTCAATTAGAGTTAAGCCCTCATGTAATGTTATAGAGCAATGACTACTCCAGTTACAGACGGTAAAATGCTGGTAAAAGCAATGTATCATTCAGCGGTTGTCAGCGGCTTGGCCATTGGCTATGCCCGTATAGCTAAAATGATTGCTAAAGCCATACCACCCAAGCTAGATTTTAATGGTTATGATATGGGTATGAGTGTCCTAGATGTAGGCCTAGCAATGGCTACAAAAGATATGCTAATCAAACAAGGGCTTATCCCAGAAGACATAATGAGGTAATTAAACATTTAAATATTTTATATATAGTATTATTGAACACAGCATGGCATCAATTGCGATGATGGTCGGTGGAGCTTTTGTTAATGATCCAGCTTTTTCGGGGAGTAATTTTTTATTTTCTACTACGAGGGAATTAAACGCTAAAGAAATTGAAGAGGAGCGTAAACAACATAATAAAGCATTAGAACAACTCAAAACAGCCCAGTCACAATGGGCCAGGCGCAAAATGGAGATATTAGATTTTATCAATGATGAACTTCATAAACAAGGACATTCAACTCAAACGTTTAAGGATGTTGAATCTGCCATGCATGAATACTTCCTTGTTTACGGAAAGACACTTGACCCAATGCCAAGGCCAACATTCTCTCAGTTTTATACACCGTCAGAGGCTCAGAAAAACCATGAGATAGCGTTTATAGTTTTTGGGTTGACTGGTGTGTCTATATTTAGCTACATTATTATGCATAAGCTATGATCTATTATGCACTATGTCAGGCTGAGTCTTATCAGCTATGACACCATGACCGGTGTGTCTATTTTTACCTACACAATTACGCAGAAGCTATGATCTATTACATATCAGCTGAGCGATGACTCACCCACCAAGTGGAGGTGTGATTTGCATTTAGACAAATGATATGATAGGTGTAAAACCATGAATTTGTGTAGATTTACACTCATGGGTAAACCAATTCAATGCAACAGATGTTGCGTTGGTATATATTGCGGAATTCATGCTTTTTACATCAGACAAGGAAATGTGAATTATACATGTTCTGTATGTGGGAAAGGGGTCAAAGGTCATTATTGTTTATGTAAGAAACACAGCGCTGATAGGGTCAGGAACCAGATTATTTACACTAGGAAGAGAGATTACATCAAAGAGAGGAATAGGTTGGGGGGAATACGTATTTAGATATATGAAAATATAACCATTTAGACATTTGACTCATTTTGCACATACCATCACATCACAATGGTCTTTGTCAGAGAGTTAAAGGCTTTGGCAAAACAATGTGGTCTATGGGGTTTTTCTCGAATGAGAAAAGCTGAATTGATTGATTTACTCGGTTTGGAATACAACAAACCCCAGACTGTTAGAGAACTTAAAGCTCAAGCAAAAAAAAGTGGGCTGAGAGGTTATTCTCAGAGAAAAGTTGAATTGATGGATTTACTCGGTTTGGAATACAACAAACCCCAGACTGTTAGAGAACTCAAAGCTCAAGCAAAAAAAAGTGGGCTGAGAGGTTATTCTTGAATGAGAAAAGCTGAATTGATTGATTTACTCGGTTTGGAATACAACAAACCCCAGACTGTTAGAGAACTCAAAGCTCAAGCAAAAAAAAGGTGGGCTGAGAGGTTATGCTCGAATGAGAAAAGCTGAATTGATTGATTTACTGAATGTTGATGTTGATAAAAATCAACCGGTTGAGGTAAGATTTGTACCCACAGCCGACGTTGGTAAATATCTAAGAGGTTGGAAGATGGATATTAATTCCAACATGGATGTTAATGATGTTAAGCCCATCGTATCGAGCAAAATTAACGAGGAGTTAGATGATTTAAATAGTATAAAATACCAGCTAACGGCTAAAATGTCATTGAGTAAAAATGACGCTGAATATACCAAACCTTATTTCCGGAGCAACCAAGAAGTTATAACTGAACCTGATTCTATAAGTGCATCATTAGATACTTCATTGCAGCGGATACAAGAAACTTTAGAACACTGGACTAATAGAGGTTCGGGTTGGGGTGTGGATAGAATCCATAGTTTATATTTAGACATAGCAAATTATATGCCTTTCAAAGGTGGATCTTATATAGATTTACCCTCGTATTATAAAAAGAAAAAAAACATAATTAATGTAAAAAATAAAGGCGATGACTGTTTCAGAATGATGATAAGATCAGCATTGCAGATTCTAAAATTGCAAATAGACCTTCTAGCTATTCCCAAAACGACGGACTCAACCTTGATGGTATAGATGAACCTACACCAATCTCGCAAATTGATAAGGCGAAAATGTTTTTGGACATTCTCCTAAAGGAATTGTTGTACACAGGATAAGCTCCGCTCCAGAACATATTCCCAGAATCAATTCATTTCTGATCGAAAAAAGATGGTAAATATCATTATACGTGGATAAAGAGTTTAACCCTTTCGCCCCGACTGCCCGATTTATCGGGCAGCATAAACCATGTCCCAGTACCCGGCTGCCCGAAAAATCGGGCAGCTACTGTCCAAGTCCCACACACGGCTGCCCGATAAATTGGTCGGCAAGACCGTGTTTACAAAATCGCTCTTTCTACTTCCTTTCTCGTGTGTAATCTCGTTCTAAATATGGAAACGAGATCTACACGTAATGACACGTCATTCGATTGAATTTCCCAGGTTTTTTGGCGAGAAAATCGCGAATATGTCACCTGTTTTCGCGACAGGTATTTTTCTCGCTTGAATCGTAAATCTAGCGTAATGGCGGCGAACTACGATTCGGATAGCGATCAGATGACTAACAACGACTCTATCGGGAATAATAATGTGTTTGATTTGAATAATTTACGCGAAGGGGAGAGGGAATTTCGCGAATATTTTTGTGAAGATTTTGACGGTTTCGACGAGGTGCCCCCCCCCCTCCCCCCGCCAACTTTCAAGAATGTGAGTGGCAGAGGGACCACAACAGTGGAGACATGAGGGATTTTGAAGAGGCGACCGGACTCAAGAATATATATTGACACGGTGAGTGAAGTATCGTGCTATTGATTTTTTCCAACTGTTTTACAATGATTCTGTGTTTGAACAGATTATCAGTGCGACGAATGAGAATGCAGCCTACAAGTGAACGAGCGATCACAACAACAACAAAGGTGAGTGGCATGACGTATCTCTTTTTTTTTTTTAATTACATTTTCTGATCGCAATCTGAATTGTAGTTTGCCAGTTTGTCGTATGTCCTTATATTTCACTCAATTTGAATAAAATTTATTTCCATATTCATGTTTGTTTTCTTGTTTTTTACAACTTAATTTAAATTTTAGTAACTGTAATAATTATTTATTTATTAATTGATGTAATAAAGTACTGATTTATTTTATTATGCAATTGTAAATAGCAGTGTATTGTAAATATGTTATCACAACTTGTATATTTGCAGAACTTGAATTTACGATCTTTCCGTCCTTTTACAATCTTTCCCTCCTTTCAGATCAATCTGTGATATCTTCTCTGTGATGTCATTCTTATAGTAGCTGTGGTTCAATGTTCAGGTAATGTGATAAATTACTATTTAAAAACTTAAAAACTTAATTTTTGTTTCAAATCCTGAAAAAGAACAAAATAAATCAAATATTTGTGTTTTTACCTGGGTTAACGAGTTTACCTGCGTTAACAAGTTTACCTGTGTTAACAAGTTTACCTGAGAGGCTGTAAGTGTATCATAAGTAATATGTGACATCAGTATAGAAAACAAAGTCAGTACCAAGAGTTGAAAACTTGTTTATTTGTTTACAGATGTGCATGAAGAGAATTAAGCCTGTAATACCTGGGATTACCTGTGCCGTCCAAGATGACAAGGCCACTGTGTTATGTTTATCTTGTATCTGTGATTTATTTTTGTGATTTTTAATACAATTTGAGCCAAAATTCATTGTCTGTTTTCATTTTTTCAGTGTTTTCAAGTTTTATTTCACTTGTAAACACCTGTAATTAGAAAATAAGAAAGGTTAGAGACAATAACAACAAAGAATATTACAGTATACTTAATCCTCTTTACAATGGTATATGATAAATGTATATTAAAAGCAAGTTTCTGGTAGAAAAAGTGCATCAAAAATGATAAGTGTGATTTTCCAATAATACTGCCAGGGAGGCCAGTGTGCAGGCCTTGTCAGTGTCAGGGACTGCAGGGTTTCAAGGGACATAACTCTGGGGCAGCCAGGGATGATAGAGTTGAGCAGGCTATTATGCGATCAAACAAAACATGAATGAAAAAAATATTTCTGCGAAAGATGCCTGCATGGGTACAGCAGACAAGATCTATTAGAAGCGCATAAAGAAGACTGCAGAGGTGTTGGACAGACTGCTATCAGGATCGATATGCCTAAAGAGGGAAAAAATATACTAAAATTTGAACATTTTGTAATCAAATGCCAGTACCGTACATAATTTACACTGACTTCGAAAGCACTTATCAACCCTATAGAAAATACCGAACACAATACTGAATGTAGTTTTACATACAAAACTCAAGAACATATTCCTTGTGGGTTTGGGTATATAGTTGTAAGGTATGATGGGAAAACAACCCCGCCCGTGATTTACAGAGGTCCTGATGCAGCGGAAAAGTTCCTAGAATATCTACAAAATAAAGAGAGAATAATCAGGGAAAATGTATCGCGTAAGAAACCCATGTGTATGGCAAGGGATGATTGGAGGGCTTATAACTTTAAAAAGTCAACGATTTGAATAAACCCCTGAATGGGGATTCCGTAAGAGATCATTGCCACATCACGGGTAATTATTGGCGCATAACCAGAGTAACTTGAAACTAAAAATGAATTCTCAAACAATACCCATCCCCATTGTGTTTCACAACCTTAGAGGATATGATTCTCATCTCATTATGCAAGCTATCTCAAAGACCAATGGTGGCTTAACGTGGATTCCTAATATGGAAAAATATATCTCTAAAACTATACATTAGGATAAAAAATTAATATTCTTGGTTCTCAGGCACCGCCGCATCATCATAAAGTCTGCCGCACGTTTCGTTTTTATTTCCATTTTCAAAAAAAAAAATCCTTAAATGTTCGGTGTCTTGAACACACGACCTCAACTGTGAAATGCTACAAATTACTTAAAAACAATGCGATCCAATATTATTTTTTTATTATATAACATGCAGTTACTTCCCTTTTCATGCGCACTGCTTTACTGCGCATCTCGTGTGTTATGGTCATGGGGGCAATAGGAGTTTGTGTGCTTGCTTTGCTGTTTGTAAATTTGGTCAATGAAAACATTAAATAAGCAATACAACATCACTAGACATGATGATGGTATTCAAATACAAATTCAATGGTATTTGTGTACTGTATGAGGGACAATGCAGGGGTTATTTTTCTCGTAAAATAAGCGGGAAATCGATGCTAATTTATATACCCCGGCTATAAAGCAAATCTGAATATAGCACATCACTAGGGCATACAAAATCTCTACATTTGCAATAAAAATGTGTTTGTCTTCCACAGAAAAAAAAAATTACCTCGTAGCCCTTCAGCGAATTCAGGGAAACGTAACAGATTATATCAATTAAACTTAGTCAATACAAATTTCAAATTTGAGATAAAACATCACTTAACATAATGATTAGCCGATTAAATTGTATTTCCTGTTCTGATTGGCATTGTTTTATATGCAGAGATTAAGATTACCGTGTGTCTTGTCTCGTAAACTAAGCTGGAAGTAGCATTCAGCTGTATACACTTTTCTCGGAATCTAACGGTGATTCGACCAATAAAATAACTTAAAAGAATTTTTACACAATGAGCGGAAGAATTGTATCTGAAACTATTATTTTGTCAGGAATAATTCATTCCAATATCATGTGTAGTTGCAGATTTACTATATATATGTGAAATGAATTAATAACCATAAGCGTAGCACTTGGGTTCAGCTGATCGCCATTGCCGGAAATGTTTTCGAATGGAAGAATTTGACCAATCACCGTCCATGCGCCCGCGATTGCAAAAACTTAATGTTGACATATAATAGTCAAACTACAACAAGTATGACTTTCAGCGATTCAATGTATGGCATTTATGATATATATATATATCCATTCTCTATCCACTAAAGTTCGTTTCAAGGCGTCAATAGCGGTAATATGACCGTGGTTGCTGTAAGTAACAGTGAGTTGTGCGATCTTCCGATCACTTCACATACGATTTTGCCGAAATGAATTGAAACAATATTGAATGAAATATTAAATAAAATTATTAAATAGATTACCAACATAAGTCCAGATATATTATGAACTCTTTCCACAACCAGACTGTGTAATTACATGATTAATTTGAGCATTTAAGTACAGATTTGTTGACATGGTATTTCCGGTGTTCCTTGCCCACAGTAATGTCTATGTGTTGCGGAAACCCCCCATAAAATACTTAACCCTGTGTATAAGACGACACCCCCTCCTCCCCCCCACACACACACATACCTTGAAAGCCTCCTAATTCTAGTTATGTAAAACTCGCCTTATACACAGCGATATACGGATTTGGATTCTTACTAGTGTGTACACAACCCAAAAAAAGGGCCGCCCGCACGATATTTTCAAAAGCTATTGCCTGAGAACCATTTTTTCTTTTTTTTCAGCCTTATACGGACAAGGATGGGAAAGCTAGAACAAATCAAAGTAATGGGCTTAGATTCATAGACTCCGTACAGTTTCTGTTATCTTCCCTGGACAATTTAGCTAATGCGAACAATCCCGATGACTTTGCAATAACAAATCAATATACTGATCAGATAACTCGTCATTTGTTGTTGAGAAAAGGTGTATATCCTTACGAATATATGGATGATTGGCCTAGATTTGACGAAACTAAATCACCACCCCTCGAATCATGCTATAGTAACTTAACAGAATCTAAAATAACCAATGCCATTTATGAACACGCTCTGACGGTGTGGGATAAATTAGGTTGTAAGAATTTAGGTGATTATCACGATCTGTACTTAAAAACCGATGTACTGTTACTCGCCGATATATTTGAGATATTTAGAAAGACATGTTTAAAATAATACGGCTTGGACCCGGCATGGTACTATTCCAGTCCAATGGGATGCATTGTTGAAGCAGACCGGTGTAGAACTAAAATTACTCATCGATTACGATATGCTCTTGTTTGTTGAGAAAGGATTAAGGGGTGGTATATCAGTGACAGCGAAAAGGTATTCTAAGGCTAATAATAAATTATATCTCGACACCAACAATTTGTACAGATGGGCTATGAGTCAAACTTTACCCACGGGTGGTTTTGAGTGGGTTGATGTGAATGATATCGATCCCCACAGATTCCGATGTGAATAAAGGGTACATACTAGAAGCTGACTTGGTATATCACAAAGACCATAACAATTATCTGCTAGCTCCCGAAAGATTAATGGTAAATAAAGATTGGATGTCGGAATATTAACACTCCTTGATGGGCAACACTAGGCAGGGTTAGAAACTAACAGTTTTTGTCCACTAGTCCTTATAATGATAACATATAGCAAAACCCTCAAAACGGGCCAATTTCTACTAGTCCTTAGGATACCTTTACTATTGGGCAGTTTGGTAAGGACTACAGGACTAGTGCCAATTTCTAACGCTGCTAGGTCAGGTAACATAGAAAAACTTGTACCAAATTTGATGGATAAGACAAAATATATAGTTCACTACAGAAATCTCCAGTTATATCTATCCTTAGGCATGAAAATAAAGAAAATACACAGAGTTCTAAAGTTTGATCAAAGCTGAACACAGATTTAAGAAAGATGTCTACCAGCGATTTCAAAAGAACCTATATAAGCTCACGAATAACTCAGTATTTGGTAAAACTATGGAGAATCTAAGGAAGCGTGTTGATGTCAAATTAGTCAGATCTAATGAGGAAGAAAGACTCAAGAAACTTATAGCCAGTCCGGCTTTTAACAGAAGCAAGATATTTGATAACGACTTAGCTGCACTACATATGCAGAAGAGTAATATAAAATTCAACAGAGTATGAGTATTCTTGACTTGTCAAAACACTTAATGTATGACTTTTATTACAACAAACTTAAGAAGCAATACGGTGATAGATGCGAGGTGTTATATACCGATACCATGGATACTGATCCTTTGCTGATGGAAATACAAACCGAGGATGTATATAAAGATATGGCAGAAAAAATAGATATGTACGACACGAGCGATTACCCAAAAGATAATCCACTGCACAGTGTAGTAAATTTAAAGGTGTTAGGTAAGATGAAGGATGAATGTGCTTGGACCCCTATAGCGGAGTATGTCGGATTAAGACTGTTAATAGAGAGATATGAAAAGCTAAGGGTGTTAAGAAGTATGTGGTAAAAAAGCATATCAAACACGAACAGTATAAAGAAGCATTATTCAATGGTAGAACATTCAAACACGAGATGAACATTTTAAGAAGTGTCAATCGAAGGATATATGGATTAAGAATGAACAAGACATCATTATCCCCCTTAGATTCAAAGAGATGGATTGATAAAAGGATGGTGTAACTACCTATGCTTCTGGTTATGGTGGTAATACTGTATTGTTGGGAACTATGAGCAACTTTTTTCGTACAAATGCCCTGCCCGGTCCATCTTTAAGATAATAAAGAATAGGTTCTCCTTCTTTCATAACCTACCGACTAATGTTATATATCTTAAGGGACCAAATCGGATCGGTTGCACGACGTAGGCCTCCTTCGAGTTCACCGGGCTAGTATAAATATCTTACGCTTACGCTTCTCTATCTAGAAGTTTTTGTTCTTTGCCTCTCCTCGGTGTTGAAGATTTGGAAGTCACAGATTTCATTTTAATCGCATCGGATGGTTTCTTCCTGATTTATCTCGTTACTTCATTATTCAGCGCTGAAACAACAGCTGATAATCATGTCACCCATTCGGTTGATCTTAATCGTTCCGATTTCATTTCAATCCCATACTGATATCCAAACAAACTTTCCGCTAATGTCTGGTTAAATCTTTTAACGATAGCTTGACTACGGTGGGCCTGATTTCAACATCGTGCTTTGTTAATAATTTAGCTACTGATCCCATAAACTCGCGACCAGGATCTACTTGCTATAACTTGGGACATTTTAGTGGTCCGCATTTATATATGCGGCTCAGTGCATTAGCTACTACTGTTGAATCTTTCGAGGTTAATGGTTCAGCCTCCTTGTAGCGACTAGCCACATCCACTGCGGTTAAAGCGTATTCATATATTTTGGGTCTTACCTTACCATGGGGAAGAAACAAGAGGTCAGCCTGATGACATCAGGATATAATGCGGTGCCGGTAGGTATATTTGCCACATTGCTTGTTTCTTTAGCCGATCCTTGGCCACATCTTTAGATACCTTAGCCGCAGTGGCTAATTTTTGTATTGCTCCTATACCTTTCCAATATCCTCGTGGGCTATAGTAAATTTTATCCATTATTAATTAATATTGATGGTTCTTTTGATACGATTCATGACGATCGTTGAATCGCATCATCATTTTTGCATAAAAAATTCCCTCTGTAGTAGCAGTATAGGTATATAAATCTGGCTCCAGTGGAGTTGCGACAGAACTGTCATTACTTATACTACTGTGTAAGTCAAATTCATTCACATGGAAACTCGAAAAATACATTTTAAAAAATCCCAAACTATCAGAAGGCACCAGTTCACCACTAGACCTATCCATGTGCCAAGTTAGGTTAAGATATCTCTCATGGTTTTTGAGCTCTGCTCCAGAAACGAAACGTGACGGATGGACAGACAGACAGCACCCATTCCTACATCCCCCTTCCACTTCGTGGCAGGGGATAATAACATATTGCAGTAAATCATCACAGGTATATGTGCACATAATAGTCTTCTGCCTTCAGTGTGATGATGTCAAGCCCAAAGATCAATGACAAATTACACATAACACTGGGAATAGCAATCAATGTAGAATCATTAGAATGGTTAATAAATTGTACAGTCTTAGATTGATGTTGTGCAGAAAACCTGCTTGTAAGTCAGTCACAAATCTGTAAAATGTTGACACGAACTTGGTGCATGTAGAAATATATAATAAGTGGCATTTTTAAAATATCAGGATGCACAAGTCATGCTAGTGCATGTCATATATAGTTAAATCTAGCCCTGACATATCACACTGTGTCCAGACATCTCTGCTCCAATTCGGTTTATACATGTTCCCAGATCTGGGGATCTAATAGTAATACCACCAGACGGATGCGAGCCATAAGGTCCAATATTTGTTGCCATTCTTTAGCATCTACATATTCATAACAAACAGACAAACAGCATATCTGGATATCACAGATTTCATTGAGAACATGGTTGTGATTTTACCTTTGATTTCTTTTCTTTCACTTCTATGACCTTCTGCAACCTTTTCCTCTCCTTCTTGCTGAGTTTCTTCACTCGTGGTGTGTTGTCATTCCTCTTCTTAGTCGGACGTTTCTTACCAGGCAGGACCAGAGCATTGCTGTCTTCCTCTTGGACAGATTCTTCTTTTGTGGTGTCTTCCTTTAGATCTAGTCTTATCTGGGAAATTAAAACAATTCTTCATCAAAATAAAGTTTAAATCATAGCTCTTTCTTAACCAGTCAAAGTTGTCCTACCATGCTTACAGACTGTGTTTTGCATGATTCCTATGCAGTACAAACTGACCCTTTCCTTTGCTATCCTTGACTCATTCCAAGTACAGGAAACAGACCTCTTGAAATTGTCCTTTTGTTTTTACAGAAACTATATATTCTAGTAGGCTTAATTATGTTATTCATTTACAAATAGTAATTGTAGGATAGTCAAAATCAGTTACCAACATCACTCATGAACAGCAGCATACCGAGTGAACAGTTGTGTGAGAAAACACAAGAAGAGTCTGAAGGTATTAAAGTGAGTTTGAGTACATGTATCCTGATGAGCGCACGGCGCACGGGGTGAATGGTGGTCCCATTAAGGAGATTGTGAGATTGGTGTCAGGCACATTGTCTATGTCCAGATCACATTTAACAGCATTTGAACTAAAAACACTTTCAGAGATATAATTCAACTGTTTCAAAGACGTATATAGATCTTTCTGTTTCTAACTCTCTAACATATTTTTCATGTAATCAGTAAACCATGCCTCCTGATATTTACCTTTTTCTGCTCACTATGGTCTACAGCAATGGTTGTCTGTTGCCTAGCTTTCCAGTTGAATTTACGCTTAGATTTCCCCATTAGTAATATAGTATCCCTTACAACACAACAGATAACATCCCAGCTGATTCGAAGAGAAACGTGCTCGCAGTATACACGCGAGTAAATAAACGGGAAGAGTTATGTCCCTTAGTAATAATACTCGAAAAAGTAATGTGTGTAATCTGGGAAAGGGGAGGGTACATTCGTGACCACTGGCTCTTTTCCGTAACCCGCGAGAAGACGTATTAGGCTTTGCCTGGAATGACACGAATTGATCACGAATGGTCCGGAAACTGACTCGATCGTTCCCTTGATCAAACCTCAGCGCTAATGTTATCAAGTAGTAAGTCTTTTTTACTGTTGTTAGACTGGCCTTCGCCTTTGTGTAGTGTGCGGCAACCAACGGAGGCAGGGTCCCAGTCTCGTCATTCCGGGACAAGCCGAACCACGACTTTAATATTGTGCCCACCACAAACTCTTTTTCTGTTTCTGTTCACTTGTAATAATTGTTACAGTAACATTCGCTTAACGCTAGTTTACAAAGAATGAAACCTCTGTGATATAAGGTAGACACACTTTTATGGATAACAACTTATTTAATACTGTAAATATCTGTGACAAATATTTAAATTGTTTGCTGAAAAATAATCCAACTTTAACATTTTTTTCTGTTCATCATTAATTTCCAAAATGCATGTTTCGAACCATGATTAAAAAATAAGTAAACAGTGATCTTGCAGTGAAAAGGTATGTTATTTGTCTATTTCGACATTTAAGAATCGCGATTGTGATGCGTTTTTTAATTAATAATATTAGGAATGATAGTATGTAAAACAAATATGTTTTCAGCTGTAATAAGCCCCAATACACGTACACATTTGTCAATACAAGATCCAATGTAAATATCCAGTTATGTTATTTAAAACTATTAATATATAGCCATTACATTTAGTTTCCATAAACAAATTCTGTCAGCATTGATTGCTTTCTTTTAATGACATATAGCTACATTCTACGTTTAGAATTTTCAAAGTTCGAAATAACGGATTTGTCTCTTATGCCTTGCGTATGTGATTTTAGGTATAACAGCAGACAAGTTTGGATCTATGTTGAGGGGCGAGATGAATTGCCCATTACGATCACGTTCGACCTGTCATCCGACATTAACGTAAAAAAAGTATATAACAGCGATGAGACAAAACGGAATATTGTGCTCGGGAAACTTCAAGATCGTCTCCTAATTTAACTCAAGAGTTGATATCTGACGGTTTTATATTTATATAGATATTTTGATAGATGTTTTGGGTACACATTATCCCTAAACAATGCATGACTTTGGAATATCTACATTTTGTGTTCCTGATATCTTAAAAACTCTTGGTGTTTGGCAAATCTGCATAGGTTGTGTTCAACACATGGAATCAACAATGGGCATTATACTTTTATATAATGACTTTGAAGGAGATTTTAAACTGAAGAATTCATGTAGTCCTATTACAACTTTAGTATACGAGATGTTAATCAAGTTGACTAAACCAGCTTTCCGAGGCAAGGGAGTTAACTGACTTTAATATAGTCGTGGAAACACAACTTTTAAAATCAGTTACCTTTCTTGTTTCGGGAGCTGAAAAAAACCTACACACCCTTGTGGCATTTTAATGAAATATGGATGGCCCGAGAAAAATCAGGCTTTGTCTTTAATTTGGCTTTTATTATCTCAACAACTTGTGAAACATTGCCAATAGAGTGAACTATAATCACAATATTTATTATTAAAGGTAATATTACATTTGAATTTAAATTGTTTTGAAAATAAAGGCTATTTCGTTCACTCAATAATATTTAACACCACTAAGTACATATCAAAATGGATATTAAGCTGAATTAAATTTGGAAAGCCAAATAGATTGTCAGAGATAAAACTCGCTGTTTTGATCCGAATGTAAACAAACACACGTATGTTGATTTTAATCTTTCACCGTGCATGGTCCTATCTGTATTAACAATTACAATTCACACAACACAATTCTGTTATCTATGTACTTTGTATTGTCAAAATGATGATATATAGTTTTCACGGTTACAATTTGCTTTAAGTACTCGGGATTAGTTTTATCTAAGTACCATCCTTACGCGCATTTTGATTGGGTTGTCGGATTTTCGCACATAACATTGCTCGGTGAGGAGACAAGTTTGCTTGCAGGTTACGCAGGGGGGATAGGTGGTGAATGTCTGTAATGCTGTATGTGTTTTGCGCACGAAAATGCGCGGCTAAAAGACATGATCTCATTTCAAATTAAAGCCACAGAGTGCGTCTTTTGTCTTAGATGTATACAAGTATAGTCTTCGTCAATGTAAACTATCGCCGCTACCCCGGCATATGGTACATATATGCTTTTTGGCGATCATATAAAAATGAAAGGGGGTCATGTATTATCTTTTAGAGTAACATCCTGCAAGAACATTCATGAAGCTATTGTAGGTCCGCTTCAGAGTCTATTGAAGACATGTGTGGTGGAGGTAACTGGAGCTTGGACGAGTCCAAATTTAGTACCCGGGTACCCGACCCCCTATTACCTGCGCTACAAAATGTTCTATTGAGTTGTTTTACTGATGCCCTGGCAAAAAGTATTTTGATAGGGTACAAAACGATCTGATCATGCATACACTGAAGTTGACTGAAGCTTTGTCTTTGTACTCAAACATATAAAGGAATGTGCGCGTAGTCAGAAAGAAATGCGAACATTAGCGGCTTGTACTAGTTTACTCATAAATTTTTATTGTTATTGTAATTAAACAATATATCACATGACTAACCACGGGTCCGGGTAGTCCTGTGAGTACCCTGGTCCTACTCAGGACCCACCCGACCGGAGTTACCCGTCCCAGCCCTAGAGGTAACAACCGCACTCACGCACGCACAGCATATATATAAAGCAATATATGTGTGATATCAGGAGCCTTATATATCAGGTGTTGTTGTCATGTAAGTGATGTGATGTGCGACACCTTTTATGTTTGTTTCACTCCCTCATCCCAAGTTAATATATAATATTGTGCTGATGCCACCCAGAGTGCGGTTTGGCACCGTGTTGATGCCTAGCATTAAGGTTTCCTCTTTTATGTTGTTTAAATGCTTGAATAGGTGTCGTGTCTATCTGAAAGTTTTTTTCCGGAAATCCTTTGAACCAGCGTTTATTAGAGGCAGGTGTTGTTGTGTATTAAGTTATATTTTGCAACATTATTTTAAATGTACATCTTCTCTGGATGTCTTAGTTACATAACCGGCTTAATCTAAGATTACATGAAGTTGAGAACAAAAGGCAGGGTTCGCTTCTGGAGCATAATGCGAAACTTTGTAAACACAACAGTAACTGTAAAGTGCTGAAAGTGCTATGTGCTATAATACTGCTATTGAGGCTTTTTATCACCCCGGCATATACATAGTCATCATCTGGTCTGTCTGTCTGTCCGTCCGTCCGTATTTCATTTCCGGAGCAGTACTTAAAAAACCTGAAGTGGTGCCTTAGCTATTGTATGGGCGTTTCCAAGGCAACAAGTTTTTTGCTGTACAAAAAATGTAAAACTCCCGAGCACAAGCTGTCTGATATTAATTGTGAAACTTTGTACAAAATGTAGAAGTAGAAAATTGCTGAACTGGTGCCGTTTGCTATTCATGATATGTTTATTTTTTAAGATGCGTTTCCAAGGCCAAGCATTTGACTTCGTTGAAATGTAGACATTTTGGGATTGTTTGTGGCACATAACGGGTCAATATTTTCCTTTTTACTTTGTATATACATTAAAGGCAACAGTACTGCAGAACTGGTGCCGTTTGCTATTCAGAACTTAAACACTTTCCGTTTATGGCAGGCTTGTGTCCTGAGACCCGTTCCTTATCTTAGCGATAAGGTGGTGTAACTCCCATACTGATGGAAATGAATAAGGGATCACCTAGTTTTAGACATAGTAAAATGATATGCTTGTCAACCAAATACGCGTTGAAATGCACATAAACACATCCCAGCATTTGATAGTGACATGTGTTTACCTTGTATGTGCGCCATTTCAAATGTACTGACAGTAAAGCTTATTTCCCTATATTATGTTCCCTTAATCGTTTCATATATTTTAATATAGGCTCTAGGATCGTTTTGTTGAAGGGAGCCCGGCCAGTGAGTAACTTATGTTTTAAAGTACACGTATAGCCCTTAACACGTTCAGTGTTGCTTTAACACCCTTGATGCCAGGGAGGGACATATGACCCTCTGGCATCCAGCGGGTTAAGAGGATTTGCATAGACATCAATCTATAATGTCCTGATTCTTTCCTCTGCGGGTACATCAAACCACTAGGGTGACTATTCCCGTTTGTCCACTTGGTCATTTAACTTCGCCTTAACACCCCAACAGCTAAGACGGCCTAGTGCATTGCAATTGTATATCAAGGTCGAGTCATAACCTATTGAAGAGTACAGTGTAGTCAAAATGTGTTCAAAACATTTTCTACAATAGTTATTATATTTCCTTGTCACACTTGTGAGCATCTATTGTACATCACACAAGCTCGAAAGGAAAATTCGCAGCATAGTTACCTTCCTGACGTTTTGTTGATTGCTTCAGAACTTTAACCAATCAAACTTTGGATAATATTTGTATCTATAATACAGAATATGATGGTTATTGGACTCGCTTGGATACATGGTAATGTGAACTAAAAGCTAGGGGAAACATAAATATCAATAAATATATAGCATAAATAGCGAAAAATAATATTTGTTACCGCCGCACTCGAGCCTGTGGCACTTTGTTGGAAGCAAAGTAACTAATCACAATAATGTATATATATAACTCTTTTGGCGATATCTTGTCGACAATAACACAAATTATTGGTATCTGACAAATCTGTGGGTTACGTATAATGTTACTCAAATGAAGCATTCGCTCAGTCGGTTGTCTCCCTTCTGAAACAAGCACTTCAAGCCCCTTCCCTGCGCGTGACACCTTCGTCACAGTCTCGGTAGTGTAGAGAGCTCCGCGAACGGACTATTGCTGTGAGGAGCTTGACGAGCACTTGTCATGCTTGTTGTCTCCCTTTATGAATGGTAAACTATTTTTAGTAACAAGTTAGCGTACCATAAAAGTGTGAATCCGGAAGTTGTGGACCAGAAATTTGATACGAACAACAAAGTAAGTTCCGGCTGGAGTCGCACCTTCAGCTGGAGTTGTTAGGGTAATGTCAGGTAGATCTACGGGAACATCTCGGACATACGTGCTTAAATGTGAGCTTCAGGCAGGTCTGTGCTGTTTTCGTTGTCAGAGTGAATGTGAGTTTGAAACGTTCGGCCAATATCAGGTAAGCCTAGAGCTATATACTTCACATCATACGAAAGACGTTAGAGACCCATGATGCTATAGAGTATCAGATGTGTGTGTGTGTGTGTCAGTGGCGAGAGTGATGTCAATAGCGGAAGTGATGCACCACACAACACAACTGCCAACTGGGCCTGGCCCATATTGTCAGGAAAGCTCATGGTCCCTATTCAAGCTCAAAGGTGTCATTATATGGTCTAGGCTAGTCCTTATGGTATGCGTGTCTTCTTCCCATCCCCCAAACCTATCTACAAGCCACATGTGTTTTGTATGTTTGTTTAAGCCTCAGTAATTAGGTTCAAGGTTTATCACAGCGACCAGTCGTAGGACCAGGCAAACAAAGTGACTTTATTTAAAATACTATATCCAATCTCCAGTCTCTTAATTATTTCTATGACAAAAAAGACATCTAGAGTGCTTGAAACCTTTTATAACCAGGGTCCTGGAGCTCATGAAACAGTCTGCAACTTAGCCACTAGTCCAAAGCCTGACTCTTATAAAACTCTGGGCACCAAATTCTGTTTGGTTTTGTACATGTTGTAAGCTCAGGTAATACTAGTCCATATAATAACACTAAACTCTACTGAAAATGTTGCTTTGTACCATATTTGGGTAAGTAGACTCTAATGGTTTCGACACAGACTGATGAACATCACTTTGTGAAGTATAGGAATAGCCAGACTCTTGTACTTCTCCAGCTTCCTGTGGGTAATCCTGCATGTCATGTTGGTGTTTCAGATAGGTGAGACTGAGCGTCCCCACCTTCCACTATCACGATGACGAGCACAACACCAACCAACAACATGACCAGGGTAGCATTGGATCAGATCAAGAAAAACCTGGCCAAGAGAACTTTCAGTGTAAAGTTTGATCTGCAGGACACAGATTACAAACCCATAGAGAACATTGGCATTGGAGCATATGGTGTTGTCTGCTCAGCCACTCACAGAAAAACTCAAGACAGAGTGGCCATCAAGAAGATTCCTCACGTGTTTGATGCACTGACAGTAACAAAGAGAACATATCGAGAGATCAAGATCCTGAAACACTTCAACCATGATAACATCATCAATATCAGGGAAATCCTGAAGCCAAAGCAGGAACTTTTCCAGGAGATCTATGTAGTGTTTGACCTTATGGAAAGTGATCTGCATCGCATCATCTACACACAACAAGAACTGACCGAAGAACACATCCGCTACTTTCTCTACCAGATCCTGCGAGGGCTGAAGTACATCCACTCTGCCAATGTCATCCACAGGGATCTCAAGCCCAGCAACCTCCTCGTCAATGAAGACTGTCATGTCAGGATCGGAGACTTTGGTGAATAATGATTAGTATTTATACACTAGGTTGTATTATAAGACGTATACCATGAAGTCTGGAGTATTCCAAGAAAACAAATATTCCTTTAGTAGAGATGCCTGCTGCTCATTCTACTGGTCCTTGTTATTAATTCCACCATGAATTTAGAAAATACTCAATTTTGATTGGTCAATCAGTGGTATAAAATCTCAATAAACCACTCTGACTGAAACAGATGATTTGATCAAGGCCATATCACTGCAGAAGCTAATATTTTTGGAATAGTACTTCTTTTACTGTCCTATTATCATGATAATAGACAAAAACACATTAAAAACAATGAAACATTATTTCTTCATATGCACAAATTAAAGAGAAGCATCCCTTCAAAGACCCACCATTATGTTTGTAAGTCAGTGGAGACTCCGGGTTAGAACCGGTCATCAACAACCTATGCTTGTCTTTCGAGGCAATCTAATGGATTGGGTGGTGAGACTCGGTGGCATGGTTGACAGCATGTCAGTGTACCCTGGCGGCGTGGATCGTTGCTTTGGCAATATTTTCAGTCTCTGTTTCTATGGTGATAGTTCACACAGTTTCTTAGTTCTGCTCCAGAAAAAACTCCTATCTTCAATATTAACATGATCGGGATTAGAAATAAACTCAGAAGCTTCACTAGCCTGGGTAAAGATAAAATGCCATTGTAATGTTAAAACAATGGAGAAATTTGTACTAGCCCACAGGAATTTGTACTAGTCCTGGACTAACAGGCTAGTGTTAATTTCTAGCCGTGCATGATTAGTATGTTCGATGTTGTTTCCCTGGAATCTTCAACAGTAGTAACCATGGTAACTATTTTATCAATCCTACTGTAGGCTGAACTATGTGCTCTTGTTTCATGTGAAGTGAACATGTTTATGTTCCTTCACTGAGTTATTACTTAGCCTGCTCAGTATCTTAGGGTGAGACAGGTCTTGGAACTGTCGTTCCACATAGTAATAATGAATGACCAGTCCCTTATCACAAACCAGTTATTCAGAAATAAGAAGATATATACCCAATATTAAAAATGTTTATTTGTCTTTAGCTGTCTAAAATAGAGGGGCGGTTGGGTAGCCAAGTAGTTAAAGCATTCACTCGTCACACTGAAGACCCGGGTTCGAAGGGTACAAAGCCCATTTCTGGTGTCCCCTGCTGTGATATTGCTAAAGGCAGCATAAAACCATACTCACTCACTCTAAAATATAGAAATGATGCATAGACATGATGCAACTAAGTTCTCTTTGTTGATGTTTAAGTTTTTTGGAGGTAGAGGCAAAATTCTGTGAGAACAAGCATCGTGAATGTGCATATTCATAAAAGCTGCCAGAAACACTTTTCTATATACATCATGTACACAGGGAAGTCTGACCTTCTGTACTAAAAGCCTTGCTAATATGTTACCTGTCAGCATTCTACCTGTGTAGTGGGTGTGCCTTCAATGTCCAGGCTGCAATCTGCATGTCCGCCATCATTGGTTATGGAGGTGATTATATCTCCATGTATAATGATAACCATTGATAACGTGAGTGAGTGAGTATGGTTTTACGCCGCTTTTAGCAATATTCCAGCAATATCACGGCGGAGGACACCAGAAATGGGCTTCACACATTGTACCCATGTTGAGAATAGAACCCGGGTCTTCGGTGTGACAAGCAAACGCTTTAACCACTAGGCTAGGCTACCCAACCACCCCCCATTGATAACAGTGTATTTATCATTTTATGATGGAGATACAATACACTGTATACTTGAGGATTAATTAGGTCCACCAGGTCCTACACTTCCTACATTTCCAGCATTTAAGTCCTTTTTTTTATTATGTATTATTTGTTTTATTATGTTACCATGGTTCTATAGCACTTTCTTCATTATTATCATGTCTATTTAAAGAATTTGTTGTGAATGAAATCTGAAAGCATGGTCAGTGGCCTAAGATATTAACAAATCGGAGCCCTGTTGACTTATTTGAAGTCACTGATGAAGAGGAAAAAGGTTCTCCCCTCGACCTGCTTCAACATTCATTGTTTATTTCCTCCCAGTGTTTGACAATAACGCCCCAAATTGTACCAATCTCCTACATTATTACACATCACATGTTAATCTCAGCTCACTGTCACACATGTTCATGCCACCTAAATGCATAGCTTTGAAAAGGGGAACATGGATATGAGTGCAATGTTGAATGTGATTAAGGGTACTGCTTATTGCCGCCTCCAGTGTGCTGCGTCGGTAGTCGACGTGGTGGATGGCTGTGTTGATGTTGTCAGCTCGGAGGAATGTTTCCGAGCTCCACAGCGTTGTTTGAGGACAAACATTGGCAATACCACTGCTGTTGGCAAACAGAATTTCAAGGTCAGCTGGCTGGCAATTCAAACACACAACAATGATCTGCCATTCGAACACAATTTGAAACTGTAACATCAAATAGTTGTCATCTGAGGGAGGACGAAGGGGAGGTGTTGGTGTAGCACTGAGCAGGGCTAGCAGACAGGCAGCTAGGATATATACTGATCCTATTGGAAGGGGTTCCAAAGTGTTCACTAGGATGGAAGTGATGGATGTGGAGGGGGCCCACAGTAAGTATGCACACATGATGTAATGTACAGATGTAGGAGTATGGCTGTGGTGTTTGGGATTACACATTGTATAGTCAGATCAGAGAGGCATCTGTGTAAAAGATCTGATTTTCATGGGATTGTGTAAACAGCTTTACGTACTCCTACTACCAATATATATATGTATGTAAAAATAATATTTATCGTGTATATGTACAAAGTTTTCACACTTGCAAAAAATAATGCTGTTACAAGTATTGTAGAGCTATGAAAGTTTGATGGTTCTTACCTAATATACCAGCTGTCAACAACACAAAACTGAAACCAAAAGTAGACCAACTCAAAGTATTAAACAAAGTCTTTTGGAAAATCTAAATCTATATTAAAGGTTATCTATTTTATCGTAGCCATCAAAGTATGGATAGAATAACTGACTTACACACTTTGTCTAATCTATTACATGCAAGACAAGGTGTGAGATACTGCTGTCTCACTGGCTGGTCCATATATTCAAACTTGGTGCGAGCCGGATGCTCGTTGAGGATTTTCATGGTGATGATATTCTCATTATTGGTGACTTGCTGACCCATAGACTACAATATGCTGCATGTGATTGCCAAACTTAAGATGCTAATCCTGCACGTGACAAATTGTGCATCACGAGTCATGGATCTAAGATGTCACATGTGATGCATTCATGAGCATTGGTTCACACAACATACCAGTATGTTCATTTGAATTTGAGCATCGAACCAATCTAAAAACAAACAGTGTGATTTGTAAGTGTGAATGTATTGTCTCCGTGCTATTACATGATTAGGAATTTAACTTTGCCAATGGCACTCTAATACAGGGAATTATTAACCCTGAAAAGTGTTGCGAGTTTATGAAATCATCCCTGCCGTGTCATGGCAGTCATGTGAGAACACTTCTGTAACCTTCTGCCTGTGTGTCTACAGTAATGAGCTGCACCTTTGATGTAAGGTATGCTTGTACATAAGGCTCGGTTGGATATTGCCATGTTTTAGAAAGAACCCTGTCTTAGGTGGGGGAGTGCATCAATCTGTGCAGTCAACTGTGTGTGAAGTGAGTTGAAAGATTGGCAAGAGTTGGTGTGTGGCTGTTATTTTTATTTATTTTTTATTTTGAACTGTTGGAGTCTTAAGGTGAATTTTATGTTTAATTTGGACTCCTAAATGAGTGCAAGACACATGGGAGTTCGACACATCCAAGTTCGAAATGCTGAGGTTTGACTGTACTTAATAAAATGAACATGATAGTATTGTTGTGGGTTCATTCATGAACACAACATACACTACCCAATGACAATTAGGAATACTCCAAAGCCAAATAAGTCCCTAGAAATCTCCTTTAGACCACAGAGAACTTCTCTTTTCCGTCCCCACCCCTTGGTATGCCATCTCATTGAACTCTGGAAATGACAGATCTGCATCCAGAAATAATTGACCGTGTTGAAAGGGGTTTCCAAGTGTGTCAAGAGTGACTTTGCATCGTGTTTCGTACTGCAGGTATGGCCCGAGGTATCTTTCAGACCCCCGACGAGCCGTGCTACTACATGACCCAGTACGTGGCTACCCGATGGTACCGTGCCCCGGAGATCCTGCTGTCCCTCGTGGAGTATGGGACTGCTGTTGACATGTGGTCTGTTGGGTGTATCTTCGCAGAGATGCTGGGCAGAAAGCATTTGTTTCCAGGTTAGTTGAGCCATGTCACAGTAGTCTATGAACCTGTTTGACATAATGAATGAAATTTCAAGCATGTATATATTTGTGTCGTATTGACACTGAGAAAAGTAACTGTTCACTGCAGATTATCTTTACCAGTGATGGCCACGATGTATAGAGCTGGGCCTAGATTTTCAAAACGATCTTAGCTAAGATAAATCCTAACAACTTACGTTCAAAGATAAGATATCTTAAGGTTAAGATAAGATAGATTTTCGAAACTCGTAAACCTGTCGCAGATTGTCCAGAGTTACGATACCTATCGTAACTCTGACAGAGAACTCATTTGTGTTAGAGATTGAAAAAGCGGGGTGTTTCCCAATGACGTCACTGGGATTTCCCAGCTGCTGACAATATCAACAACATATATAAGTGACAGGGAATTCATGATCACATTATCAGGTCACATTGTTTAACATGCACATATTTGAGTGAAATTCTGTACAATCCTACATGTAGACGTTTTGTTCTTATGATAAATGATGCCATGACTACCCGAACACAAATAGCATTCGTGTGCCATGCAATAGCATTTTGCAAAACCAATAAATGTTATAATCAATAAGTGTAGTGTTACCACACTTTAGCTATTAGAATTGAAAAAATGTGCGAAAAGATACTTCACTATTTCCCCTTCAAATGGTTCTCTCGTGAGCGCGCAGAACTGTATGATATAAACATAGCGTGTACAAAGTCAAGGACGAAAGTAAGGGACGTTATTCTAAATGACAATGACGAGACCTTTGATCGAACTGCATATGCGTTCAGCATTTAACATGTGTGTTCAAGTCTGATGTTAAGTGATGTATACTGTATATTTTTGTGTTTATGTCAAAAGTCAAGTTTATATTAGTGTAAACACCAACATTATACGTGGAAACACTCAAACAAAACTTGTTCAGGAAGCAGCGCACCCACAAGCAAGTTTGTTAAGTTTGTTTTGTTATTTATGTATCCAATATATTTCACGAATTAAGCAAGGACTTAAATACAATATCAAGCTGTTAGTATTTAGATGATGAATTTTTATTTTTTTTATCTATCTAGATCCATAATTATTTTCAAAATGTAAAAGTGACACTAATTTTCGTTCGCAAAGAGAGATAATTTAGGAATTGTCAAGTTATGTTGTCTCATGGAACACGACTCAAGTTAACCTGAACATACCTATAATGTAGTCATTTTCTATCCTTTTAAATTAAGTAGAGCTAAAAAACTGATTTGTCTGATTTCATTTAAATCAGGAAGAGGAGCGAAATACTTTGTACATGTTGTAATGTGTCAAATCTATTCCAGAACGTAGTTCAATGATGTTTGGCTTGTCTGACAGAATGGCTAAGGATCATTTACTAGTATTTGTCCGTTGACCCTATACATTACAACAATTTTATTGTCTGAATGGTATATCTATATTTTTTTAAAACATAAAACGGGAAGATGTATGCTTAAATATTAAAAAGACCAAAATATTTTAAAACCGGTTTATTGAATGCAAAGATTATTATGTTGAAAATGTGTACTTTATATTGATCGGTAAATTTCATTCAATAAACTTTTTTTCTGCGAACAAATATTGGAAAGTGAATTTTGGACAATGCGCAAATAATGCTACATTTTGACGAGAACCGGGACGATCATGGGAACCCATTTTTTATTTGATTTTTCGATATGAGAATCTGTGCTTAACTTTTGCTGTCAAAATTTCAGTAAATTGTTATCTAATGGAATACATCTATATGCCGTTAATCACCTGTTTTTAGAGAATGCAATTGTTCAACAGACAGTTTTAATCACTTTTTGTCAAATATTAGTCTTTCAAGAGGATATAGATAACATAGGTATTGAATTTAAAACGAAACAAATTTCAATTACTTTTGCAAGAATAATATTAAATATTGCATACAGATATTTGATCACATGTATTTCCTTGTTAAGTCAATAAATACTACACTGTATAGTGAAAATTCAATTATGAAAATCACCCGTCCCACACGATTTTCGATAAAAATCTTATGCGAAACCGTTATGGGTTTTTTTAACATTTGTAGATTGATATAACTTCATAAATGCAAAAATAAAGACATTAGCATTGACACAAATGCGATCCAGAAAATATAACAGCGAAACTGCGCTTTATGAAAACTGTAACATTGAGCAAGGTGTCCCGGGCGAATACAAAGGGAAATCACTCTCAACTAGAGTTTGAACTAAGATTAGCACCCCCTAAGTTATCAATAAGGTCACGGTCATTACTGTTCCCTTCCGACACCTTCCGTTTTTATACTTCCCAAATTATCAAAAAGGTACGTTGTTTCACATTTCTTCAGCATGGAATCAAATAGAAATATATTGTAGGCTATCGACTCCATAGTTATGTGGATCGCTGTCACGATTAAGAACATTTTTGACGTGAAGTCCTTGATGCATTCCTCGTGTTTTCGAAGTGTCAATTTGAATCACTCAGTTTTACAAAATGAAATGTCAATGTTTGAACGTAAAGAAGACTAATTGTTTGGCAAAATATCTATGGAAAAGTATGCCGCCATCTTGGATGAAGATAAAATAAACTTACGAAAGGTATGGGGCTATCTTAGATTTACGACAAACTTAAGATATCTAAGGGCTACGATAGTTTCGAAAATATGCTACGATAGCCTACGATTTCCTTACGATAACTTTACGATAATTTTAGGGCTACGATCGTTTCGAAAATCTAGGCCCTGGGGATAGGTGCTGCTGGGTGTCATGCAGTTTACACATCATGATAGCTATATGCACATATAAACTAAATGCAGTCAAGGGGCAGTTTCCCTATTTACAAATACCACTACTTTTATACATGGCATTCTGTGCTATATGTTCCTGTGTTTTATTGTATACATGGCAAGCTATAGTGATGATCCTGTGTTTTATTGTATACATGACATGCTATAGTGTTGGTTCCTGTGTTTTATTCTATACATGACATGCTATAGTGATGGTTCCTGTGTTTTATTCTATACATGACATGCTATAGTGATGGTTCCTGTGTTTTATTCTATACATGGCAAGCTATAGTGATTGTTCCTGTGTTTTATTGTATACATGGCAAGCTATAGTGATGGTTCCTGTGTTTTATTCTATACATGACATGCTATAGTGATGGTTCCTGTGTTTTATTCTATACATGACATGCTATAGTGATGGTTCCTGTGTTTTATTCTATACATGACATGCTATAGTGATGGTTCCTGTGTTTTATTCTATACATGACATGCTATAGTGATGGTTCCTGTGTTTTATTCTATACATGACATGCTATAGTGATGGTTCCTGTGTTTTATTCTATACATGGCATGCTGTGTGTTGCAGGGAAGGACTATATCTCCCAGATCAAGCTGATTGTGGGCGTGCTGGGGTCCCCTACAGAGGCAGTCCTCAAGAACTGTGAGAATGACCTCATTAAGAGAATCTTGAAAGGTATGGCCACTGAGGACAAATTCCCTGATGAATGGGTGTTAGTATGTTATGGGAGGAAGCAGAGTGGCCCAGTCATCTGACTCCATGATGTAGAGCTGTGTGGAGTTGCATGCCAACATACTTTGATCATGGGATTGAATTCCAATTTTTTTTTGATAAATATAAATGTCTAAGACCCCAAACATGGTAACATTCTTGAAATATTGTTTAAATCATCATTAGACCAAACTCTCTCACTGCCAGTGGTTGATCTTTGGTATTAGATTCTTTTCAAACTTGGTGAACACTTTTTATACCTATAGGAGAGTTATGATGCAAAGTTTGATTTCAATATTTGGATTTTCTGAAAGTATACAGCTTTTGTTCATATTTTTACTTAGAATCTTCTTACTGAAATATTTAGGGGACCTATAACTTAAAAAACTACTGCACGGTTTCTTTTCAAATATTGGAAACAATTTTCATACTAATAGAGGAGATTCAGTGCAAAGTTTAATTTTGATATGTATATTTTCTGAAAAAAAGGATTTTGTTTCATGTTTTAAACTTAGAAATATTTTGGAGTCAAAGTGATGGGTCTTAGTGAACCCTGCTCACTTTTTGCCTTGTTTACAGTGTTTTTTTCTCTCCAAACCTTGGTAGAAATGTAAAACAACATTGGACCCTTGAAGCTGGAGAAGGGGAAATCAATTTTGGCTCCTTTCAGAAACCACTATGGAAACAAGTATTTGTATCCGTCATTAAAGGATACACACGTTGATCATGTTGACTGAGCTGGAAACTCAGATGTGGGAATTAGCATTTTACAGAGTTATGCCCCTTGCATTATGTTTCATGGACACGGTGCACTTCCCCCACAAATGGCACGTACATACAGAGTTTCTAGGTATGGATTCAAGGTTGACGTTTTGCATACATCTGTGAGGGATATAGATCATGATATATGTTGATCAAGTTTTGAAAACCATCATCGAAAATTTATATTTCACAGAATTATGGCCCTTGTATTGTCTTTTGAACATGGTGCAGTTATTCTCACTTTTGGGGTTTTCATGCATTTGCTCATATGAGGGAAGAGTTCATTTAGAAATATAACATAACCATGTCATATAACAAAAAACTTTGAATACACATCAGCAGTCAGTGCCAAACCTTTCCAAAAGTCAAAAAGCCCAGAAACGTCTCTTGACATTATTTTCAGTAGATCTTAAATTAGGGGAGGTTATTTTCCTTGTGCATAACCTTTAATCAGATCTCCATGAATGTTTGCAAATTCATTCATTCATTCATTCATTCATTCATTCATTCATTCATTCATTCATTTATTTATTTATCGCCTCTAGCGGTCGACCTTTCGCCCGGAGAGCAGAAGGTCCAAGGTTTAATCCCTGGCCACGTCATACCAAAAGACGTTAAAAGATGGTACTTGTTGTTACCCTGTCTGGCGCTCCGCATTAAGGGGCTAAATCAAGGACTGGTCGGCTCGGAGTCTGTATACTTTGTCTGAGTAGGGTTTTCATGGTAAACAGTAAAACTGAGGCATGGTATTTCAGTGGGCTAGCACTAGAAATCGGCATCAGTCCAAACTAGTACAAGCAGCCACACACATGAACGTCGCTTTGTGCATGAACGTCGCCATATAAGTGCAATAATCTTGGACGCGACGGTAAACCCCATTTCACGTCACCTCACCTCACTTTCATATTTATATATTTAGCCCTAAAAATAGGGTTGATTGGATGCAATAAGATGATTTGATAGAAATTTCTGTGAAATGTAACAGACTACTTCTCACTCTATGAGCCTGTGTCAGACAGGGAGTGGCTTGGGGATACTCATGGTAACAAAAACAACAACCTTTCAACCAGAATGAATTTTTTTTCAACATTCCAGATTTCTAGTGCAGACGTTTCCATAAACCAAGTAATTCAATCTAAATTGCCTCATGAATTTCCCCTTAAACTGAAGGGGTAATAATGACCCCGATAGTCCCCAGCAATAGGTGACTGATGCAGTACCACCTGTTAAGCCTGTTTCTGCATATGTGTTGTAGCTCTGGGTCACAGGCAGGCAGTGCCGTGGAAGACGCTGTTCCCCAAGGCCAGCAAGAAGGCAATTGACCTGCTAAGCAAGATGCTAACAATCAATCCAGCTGAACGAATGACTGTAGAGAAAGCTCTGGAGCACCACTATCTGTCAAAGTACCATGACCCAGACGATGAGCCCATTTGTGTGCCAACATTTAACTTTGACTTTGAGAAGAAGGTAAGTTTATTCAGAAGTAAAGATTAAGATATTTGTATCATCATATTCAAATATACTTGCTATTGCCATTAAATGTCTTTAATGTACCTCTTTAGCATGTTTGATCAGTCAGGAATCTCTGAATGTTCTGTTTCTTTGGTGTAGGACATGAGTAAGGATGACTTGAAGGAGGTGATATACAAGGAGATCATGGACTTCCATCAGCCAAAGACACCCACTCTCAGTTTCAATGCTGTGCTGAGACCGGCACCTAAGCCAGAGTCCCCACAAGAGCCAGAAGTTGTCAAGGGGGACTCTGAACATCTTGATGACCTTTTGAAGGCCCTGCAGCAACAGCAACAGCAGCAGCAGACTAAAGCAGGCAAACACGATGACATGAAGGCAGAAGCCACACACACAGTCAAACAGGAAGACAAGGTGTTCAAGAAGCCAATGCCACAAAGAAGCTCCATTGTTACTGTGGACACAAATGCCCTGGTACCACCACACTCTGTGGACATAGAGATGCTCAGTGCAAAGTCCACTGACGGCAAACAGGAGATGGACATCATGCCTGTGATTAAAGCAGAGGTGAAGGGGGAAGACGGTAAGCAGCAGCCACAGACAAAACAGCAGCATGTGGAAATCAAGACAATCTCATCTGACACAAAGGCCTTAGTGAAGCAGGCCCTGCTGAATGCCAGCCAAAGGAGACAGAGAACAGGTCAGTGTTGGAGGAGGACGATGCCTTGCTAATGCTTCATCATCTGAAATATTCATTATTCTAAATGTCACTACCTACCTCATTTGACATATTCATTTGGCACAACTTGATCGAAATGTTTTAGAACGTTTCTGGTTGACATACCAGGATAGAAAGAGATGTGATATTGTCCCTTCTCTTTACAAGTGCATCCGATGTTATTTATTGAGATGACAGAGCCTGAACCATATGATCACTGTCTTCATCTTATGTGTATTCCAGACTCCACCAGTGAGGACACGGAGGGGAAGCGCGTGGTGACTGCTGCTCAGCGGCAGAAGGAAAGAGAAGATAAACGGAAGAAGAAGAGAGTGAGAGCAAATGAGAGAGTTAGAAGACAGAAGGAAAAACAAAGTAAGTAATCTTCTGTAAGTTGATTTGCAATCCATTTGACTAAAATAAAACAGCATATAGTAAACTGGGGTTATAAAATTCATTTTGGGCCAGCAATATTTACTGTCACTACTTGTCCGTAGGTAAGTGGATAATTTGGAGGTCAACAAATCTGTTCTGTAGTATGGAATTTAGTCCTCTTATTAAGCTATCTGGTCAAAAAAAGTGTTCATCGTATCTATCTGGCTTGATGATTTGCATCTGTTTCATTATGTTGAAGGGTGTAAAAGAATGTCGTAGAATTAGAGAATGGTATACATATCTCATAAATGTCATACTTTGACATAATCATGATAATAAGTCATGTTGTAAATTTACTATTAGATACCAGTATGTTGTTTTTGCGATTGAAATGGCATTACAGTGGGATGCCTTAGTGTCACGATCACTGATTGGTTGAATTCAATTGGTGATTCAGTAAACCATATATGACAAATTAACCGGTTATACTGTAAATGGTAAAATTAACGCGAACGTGAATTAAATGTGAAAACTGCGAGTGGTCTTTGCTCGCATAATTAAACATCGCATTTATATCAACAATAAGACATTTTGGACAGCAGAAATGCCAATTTAGACATAAGTTGAAAACAAACAACTATGTATTCCATATCACTGTTTATTGAGCAGCACTTGTAACAAGTATATAACCAATGTTATTCATACACTAATTACATCCTGTGAATTGTCACTGCTTGGGTCAAGACAAAAATAGCTTCAGATATGTTCTTTCTATCATTGCATCAAAATTCTTTTCTTAATTAGTGCAATGTGACGTAAAACCTTAACTCACTCACTCACTCACTTAATTAGCGGCAGATGACGCTGGAGAATGTGTTGTAATTATGATTTAATGCCGCTCAAAATTAGTTCTGTCCCGGTAAAATTACCAGGATTAAATACAAAAGGTTGCCGTGAAAATGTTCCAACCTGCAGTGAAAAGTTCTGGTTGACACAAAAAAATGTTTGTGTGTTTATGAGTGATGTTCCTGTAAAAGGTTGATGTGCAACATGATTAAAAGTTTGAAAAATGAAAATAAGATTGTGATGTTTGAAAAAAATAAACATAATCTAAAACATAACAAAAGAATTATAAGAATAAAGGAAAGTCTGAAGCAAATATCGGTAGTTAATTAGTTATGAAGGGAAATGTGAAAACATGTAATTAAGACAGAAATGCATAGAATACAGTACTGAAACCGGAAGTATTGCTGCACGAGAATTCCATGAAATCTGAATTTGTTATTTTTTTTAAAATGTTTGCGAAATTGTCAAATAGGAATTTTCACACCTACAGCATGTGTGCATTGCAAGTATTTGTTGAATGTTTCATGTATCCTCCTCCCCCCAAAACAGAACAAAACCATGGCAGTTTCACAAGATACAGCTTATGTGTGTAAACGTTCCTTTGAGACGTGAACACATTGTAGTTCGAAAGGAACCGACACTTGACGTGACATGTATTTCCAAAGGAACAAATGTTGGTAGTAACTTATTTACCCATGGAACCGACACTTGACGTGACATGTACCTCCAAAGGAACAAATGTTGGTAGTAACTTATTTACCCATGGAACCGACACTTGACGTGACATGTACCTCCAAAGGAACAAATGTTGGTAGTAACTTATTTACCCATGGAACCGACACTTGACGTGACATGTACCTCCAAAGGAACAAATGTTGGTAGTAACTTATTTACCCATGGAACCGACACTTGACGTGACATGTACCTCCAAAGGAACAAATGTTGGTAGTAACTTATTTACCCATGGAACCGACACTTGACGTGACATGTACCTCCAAAGGAACAAATGTTGGTAGTAACTTATTTACCCATGGAACCGACACTTGACGTGACATGTACCTCCAAAGGAACAAATGTTGGTAGTAACTTATTTACCCATGGAACCGACACTTGACGTGACATGTACCTCCAAAGGAACAAATGTTGGTAGTAACTTATTTACCCATGGAACCGACACTTGACGTGACATGTACCTCCAAAGGAACAAATGTTGGTAGTAACATATTTACCCATGGAACCGACACTTGACGTGACATGTACCTCCAAAGGAACAAATGTTGGTAGTAAGTTATTTACCCATGGAACTGACACTTGACATGATATGTACCTCCAAAGGAACAAATGTTGGTAGTAACTTATTTACCCAAGGAACCGACACTTGACGTGACATGTATTTCCAAAGGAACAAATGTTGGTAGTAACTTATTTACCCATGGAACCGACACTTGACGTGACATGTACCTCCAAAGCAACAAATGTTGGTAGTAACTTATTTACCCATGGAACCGACACTTGACGTGATATGTACCTCCAAAGCAACAAATGTTGGTAGTAACTTATTTACCCATGGAACCGACACTTGACGTGACATGTACCTCCAAAGGAACAAATGTTGGTAGTAACTTATTTACCCATGGAACCGACACTTGACATGACATGTACCTCCGTAGGAACAAATGTTGGTAGTAACTTATTTACCCATGGAACCAACACTTGTTTACAGTTAATACAGCTAATTTCTATTTCCGGCATATTTTATGAGACAATGATGCAAGATAATCTCTGTCTATGAAAAAAATGCCTAGCATAACTGGAAATATAATTGGAATTTGAAATCATACTATCTAGTAATCTTTTATCTAAAATTTCACATTTCATTCACTATGTGAGGGATGTTAGAATATTGTGATGATACACATAGATGCTATCTGCAGCCCTGAAGGCCAAGCAGCTGCAGTGACTGATAAGTGATAATGAAGGTCTATGATCATCTGAAAGCCATAGTAATGCCCCCATTTCACTATGACCACGAATATCCCGAATCACCCCGAATAAGAAATTGTTCATGTTCGTAGATAAATCTCAATCATTTCTTGAAGTCATAAAATGAATCTTATTTGATTCCCAAACATTCGTACACTTCATGGGAGTTTGTTGAACTGGCGAAAAAGTTTTTGTTTGTCAATAACTTTTGTGGAAGGGTCCCCGAAATGCAATTTCGTGGCTGTATCGTAATCCATTCGTAATTTATTCTTATGTTCCATAACAGCTTCGTAATTGGTTCTTTTGGCTATTCTAAGTGATTCGTGGCAACCCGAAAACATCCTGAAACAGCCACAAATGTCCTGAGTCAACTACAAATCATGTAAGAATTAAGTAAGAACAACAATCGGCATATTCGTAACTTAGGCGTAGGTGATTCTAACAATTTGTGATTGATCCGTACATGAATCTTGTAATTCGTACATGTTTCTTCACCCGTTCCTAGAATTCTTCATAATTTTCAACCTGATTAGCCACAAAAATTTGCATTTTGGGCCGAATCATCACAAATTCCGAATTGGGGTGATTCGGGGTATTTGTGGTCATAGTGAAAGGGGGGCATAACTCTCACTGACCACTCATCACATCATGTTTTGGGCAACTGGAAACTCAAGTGGGTTTATCTTACTCATTTGTTCTTGGCAGGTTGACATGATTGATCCCCTGAGTAAACGTGCCACAGCATGTTATTATATATATAATGATTTGATTTGGCCATTTAATGAGAGGTGCACTTGCTAATACCTTCACATTTCAACAGATCAGAATGTGCTATCAAACGAAGACAAGGAACTTCTGAAGAGATGGGCGTGTATGCAGAAGATTGCTCCAGCCACTGGAGTTCCAGCTGGTCAACTGGGAGGGCCCCAGGTCAACAACCCCACAGTCACTCACAGTCTGGCCATCAGCCTCCAGGGTAACAGCCTGACACTGACACCCATGACCCAGCAGCCTCTGCAGCCAGCTCACCTACAGACACTACAGGTGCAGCCTGCCCTACCAACCAGCCAGGTGCAAATACAGACGGTTCAGCTGCAAGGGGGGCAGGTTCCCACCCTGCAGATCCAGGGACACCAGGGGGCCCAGACTGTACAGATACAAGAGCCTGTGTCTGTACCCACTGTAGCCACAAGCACAGTGCCTTCCCATCAGCCTGCAGTCATCTCAAGCACAGAAGGCAAGTCTCAGCTGCATGCTGGAACACCAAGCCACACACAGAGTGGCGAGAGTGTACATCCAGTCAACACACAGTCACCACCTTCTCAGCATATCCACCAGACGTTGCCTCCAGGCTCGATATCACTACAGCAAGACACACAGACCATGTCCCTACCCGCAGCCCCGCTAGACAACACGCAGTTGCAGGTGGACATCAACCACATGCATTCCTTACTGACAGCAGCAGACACTAGCACATCCACTGGATGCATGTTTCAGTCAACAGAAGCTCCCCCTACAGGATTCTCAGTGCCAAATGTAAATGTCAGCAATCAAACCACTCTACCCTCCCAAGTACAGCAGTTTATCAATCCTGTTGCATCCCATACTGTCATGCAGAAAAGTGTGGTCGATACTCCATGCCTCAACCACAATAATACTACAAATGGCCAGTACTGTCATAGCAACACAACAGTGCCAGTATCAACTCTCAACTCCAATGTTTCTCAGTCAAGTGATACAGTGACCAGTCCTGGATTCTCCACCATCACTTTAGATGGGCTCGACTTTTTCAACAACATGGGACTTCAAAGTGATACCCAGCAGACACCAACAGTTGAGACAGCTCTTGACTTCCAGCCATACCCAGACCAGCTCCCAGAATCTCGAACATCCCCACCAAAGAGACGCAGCCTGGACACTGGATATCAGTCCAGTCCCACATTTCCAGTGGAGGGCGTTGCTATGGTGCATTCTAATAGTGCACCACATTTCACACAAATGAGTTCAAGCAGTGGCTCACCTGAACATACTCCTTATGTCGGTCAACCCTCTTTTACCAATCAATCAGTTCCATTCTCCAATTACCTGAATGAACAAAGTGGTACCAATCCAAGTTTCTCTGGGAAAGAAGTTGCTGTTCATCTCCTTGGCAAGACCAGCCCTGACCAGGCCAGTGGCGTGAGCAGCAGGAACACCTCTGCCCTGAAGATCAAGTGCAACTCCCCACCTCAGGCACATGCCCAGCCAGACCTGATTGCCTTGCTCAGTAAACAGCTGTCCAAATCTCAAGTGGAAGACATCTTCCCACCCTCGCTGTCACTCACCCCTAAAGGAACTGGGGGTGGATATGGAGTTGGGGCCGACCTGGATGCACTCATGGTTGATGCAGAGAGGTAAGACGCATGATGAAAAAGTGAAAATACATGCAATCAGCATTCCTTAATCACAGTATTCTATTTTAAGAAGTAAGTGTCTAGGTCACATAACGTTTGTTTGGTTCATATAAACAGTATTGCTGAGGTAATATGATCAGTTGAAATTTCCTGTTTCAGTGCACGTTTGGAGCAAAGCCCCTTGTCCTCCTCCCTCCTTGCTGACTGGATGGACCTTCGGGGGAACATCTCCCAGGCGGACCTGGAGGCCCTGGAACATGAACTGGGACTTCCATCCCCCATGGCAGTGTCATACAGTGATGTCAGTCTCAATCACTCTGAGCACAGGTTCTAGGTGCAATCATGCTACTCATAATACACATGTGAGGAAATCCGTGGACAGATGGTGGATGCTCTGGAGGAAATGGTTGTGATAGATACAAACACAGCATGTTGTATTGAAGATGCAGAAGAGGACCAGACTCATTCAGAACAAGCTTTCTGTTCCTTTGCCGAATCTGTCTCCCTCTGATGACAACGATGGCTTCACTGAAAACTGTTTTCTCACAAACAAGTCTGCAAGTTTCCAAGTCATTCTGCCATTGCAACTGCATTTCAATCTTTGGACTCAGGTGGTATGATAGATTCCAACTGGGGTGTCCTGTTGTTTGTAGACTTGATACACACACAGTGAGACTGGCGGTGTGGAGGACCAGGGTGTCCAGGAGAACATCGTACATAGGTGGAGTAGCCCATACTCCATTAGCTTCCCTCATGGGAAAGACAGTGATTGAGCTGCATCACACAAGGTATTGTTTAGATGTATCTACAAGGTGTTATACTGTCACCCCTGCAAGTGTATATCTTCAATAAAGTGTCATGTAATGTCTCCTCTGGTAGTTTCTTGTTGTATTGGCACAATGACCTGACATGTCAGATACATTGATCTGATGTGTCAGATACATTGACCTGAGGTGTTAGACCCGTTGACTTGATGCATGAGACCCATTGACCTGATGTGTCAGACACATTGACCTGATGCATGAGACCCATTGACCTGATGTGTCAGACACATTGACCTGATGTGTCAGACCCATTGACCTGATTTGTCAGACCCATTGACCTGATGTGTCAGACACATTGACCTGATGTGTCAGACCCATTGACCTGATTTGTCAGACCCATTGACCTGATGTGTCAGACACATTAACCTGATACATGAGACCCATTGACCTGATGCATGGGACATATTGATCTGCTATATGAGACCCATTGACCTGATGGGTGAGACCCATTTACCTGATGTGTCAGACACATTGACCTGCTACATGAGACCCATTGACCTGATGCATGAGACACATTGATCTGCTACATGAGACCCATTGACCTGCTGCGTGAGACCCATTTACCTGATGCGTGAGACCCATTGACCTGCTACGTGAGACCCATTGACCTGATGCATGGGACATATTGATCTGCTATATGAGACCCATTGACCTGCTGCGTGAGACCCATTTACCTGATGTGTCAGACACATTGACCTGCTACATGAGACCCATTGACCTGATGCGTGAGACCCATTGATCTGCTACATGAGACCCATTGACCTGCTGCGTGAGACCCATTTACCTGATGCGTGAGACCCATTGACCTGATGTGTGAGACCCATTGACCTGCTACATGAGACCCATTGACCTGATGCGTGAGAACCATTGACCTGATGTGTCAGACACATTGACCTGCTACATGAGACCAATTGACCTGATGCGTGAGACCCATTGACCTGCTACATGAGACCCATTGACCTGATGCGTGAGACCCATTGACCTGATGTGTCAGACACATTGACCTGCTACATGAGACCCATTGACCTGATGCATGAGACACATTGATCTGCTACATGAGACCCATTGACCTGCTACGTGAGACCCATTGACCTGCTACATGAGACCCATTGACCTGATGTGTCAGACACATTGACCTGATGCATGAGATACATTGACCTGATGCATGAGACCCATTGACCTGCTACATGAGACCCATTGACCTGATGCATGAGACCCATTGACCTGCTACATGAGACCCATTTACCTGATGCGTGAGACCCATTGACCTGATGTGTCAGACACATTGTCCTGATACATGAGACACATTGACCTGATGTGTCAGACACATTGTCCTGATACATGAGACACATTGACCTGATGTGTCAGACACATTGACCTGAAGAATCAGACCTTGTCCACTCCTCTTGCAGCGCCTGGCCCAGTGGGGCTAAAGTAGCTGATGGCCTTTGAGGTCAGTGTACATGTCTCCCGATCATTCATGTCTCTGACGTTCTCTATGGAAGAAAAGGTCAGGACCTCCTGGCTGGCCTTTGGATTCTGGTGTTGTTTTGCTGCTGGAGGTAGTTTCTTGTGAGCACGAGCGTTTTCGTGTTGATGCATGGACAAACAAGGCGTGCAAACGCTGAACATAAAACGCAAGCATGTTCTTACCCTAGTACTCTCTAGTGATCCTTATACTGTTTGTTGTTTAACACGGCACTCAGCAATATTCCAGGTATATGGCGGCAGTCTGTAAATAATCGAATCTGGACCAGACAATCCAGTGATTGACATCATGAGCATCGATCTACGCAATTAGGATATGATGACATGCATCAACCAAATCAGTGAGCCTGACCACCAGATCTTGTTACCTCTTACGACAAGCATAGTTGCCTTTTACGGCAAGCATGGGTTGCTGAAGGCCTATTCAACCCCGGATCTTCACAGACGGACCCTAGCTTATACTGACAATATGCAGTGGCGTTATGGCAGTCATAGTGATCCCCATATCATTACAGACCTACTCCCCAAATCTGTCATGTTGCCACAGGTTGAGGTTCATATGACTTCGTTAGGGCTAGGGCGCCTATCCTATCATGAATCTGACTGCCTCCGTGGTCTAGTGGTAGAGCGTCCACCCAGAGTGTGGAAGGTCTGGGGTTCGATCCCCGTCATACCAAAAGACGTTAAAATATGGTACTTGTTGTAACCCTGTCTGGCGCTCCGCATTGAGGGGCTAAAACAAGGACTGGTCGGCTCGAGTCAGTATACTGTGTCTGAGTGGGGTATTCATGTTAAACTGCAGCATGGTATCTCAGTGAGCTAGCACTATAAATCGGCATCAGTCCGTACTAGTACAAGCAGCCACACATGTGCATGCATGTTGCTATATAAGTGCAATAAGCCCAATTTCATTTCACTTCACCTCACCTCACCTCACCTCAAATCACCACTGTGAATCTGGACTCGTCTGAAAACTTAACACAGACGCCAACGTGAAGATCTGGGTTTCGAATTGGTCTTCAGCAACACATGCTTGTCGTAAGAAGCAACTAACTGATTCGGGTGGTCAGGCTTGCTGAGTTGGATGACGCATGTCATCGTATCCCAATTGCGAAGATTGATGCGCATAGTGTGAATTAGTGGATTGTCTGGTTGAGACTTGACTATTTACAGGCTGCCGTCATTCTTCCCCGCCCTAACCCCCTGGATGCTAGAGGGACATATATGTCCCTCCTCTACAGCCCTCACTTTGAAGTCGAATAAAATTCAAAATACATCACCCACACAAATACACTTTACAGTTTTGAATAAGGTGGGAAATTCCCTGTTCTGTGATATCACCCACTGGCATTTTAGGCCAAGCAAAAGTACTGAACATGACCTCTGAAAATTAGGTACATCGTATATGTCGCCATTTTTTACACATTACTAAATCACCACTCACGGCGTTATTTACAGCATGTTTTGAAATCTAAATTTCGGATATTTACTCGGAGACATGAATTTCAAAAATAGCATATTAGTGATCACGGGTATTTGTCTTTTATGAAATCACCAATGATCATTCCAAAACGTCTCCGATAACCCTAGAATCATTTGGAATGTTTTTGAAAAAACGAAAACACGAACGCCGAAGTGAACTTTCCGCCATATTGGATAGTGTTTACAAAATCACGTTTCAGGTACACCGGTTATGAGACGCCTGTAACATCACGTATATTTCAAACTTATCCGCGATACCTACATCCTTGAATTCCTCATACATTTTAGAATCAAATGACCAGTGGTCTTTGTCACCAATACAAAGTGGCTAGATGAAATCAAGCAAAATAAGTTAGGTGTGAAAACGAACGCTGTGCTCGAAAAACTGCACATGGTTGAAATGTTAACAAAGCAAAATTCAGATTTTACACAGTGTAGCATATTCTCCTATTTTGAGCTATCCATTCGTCTATTCGTTCAAGATATTGACTCAACATTTTCAGAATATGCATGGGAAGAGAATCGTAGGAAGAATTAGGGAATTTCAAATAGATACATTGCAATGATTTGATATTTTCAACAGAAGTTGTCAAAGTTACCGTTCTGGTTGACGCCATGACTGACGCAAAATCACGCACAACGACAACGGTATTTATCGGAATTTCTGACTATTTCCGTTTGTTTCAATGAAAATTATGACAACAAATAACAGTACATAGATTGTCAGAATGTTTCTGATTACTTACACGTCACATTTATGTTTATACGATCCCTGAATCAACGAAAGTCACCTCGTACAATCCCGCGTACTGTTGAAAGTGTACACGCCATTTTGTAAATGTTGGTCACAGGTAGTGATGTCATACGTCAACATTGTTGTACATATTTGGTAATTTCTTTGAGGTGAAGGTCCTTGAATGAGAGTGCACACGATCACTGTATCATGCTGTTTACAGTTTCAGTTATGGTGTATATTTTGCATGTCTTTTATACATTTGTTCACACAATTAATTTCACTTTGGATATTTGTCAATGTTCAAAATGAAATCATACGTACATATAGGCCACAACATGTATGAACGAACCTTTGATAATCTCCTGTTTGTTTGAACATTGTTTACATAACAATGTGATAGGTTTATAGTGTCGACTACGATATTTCTTTCCTTTGGACAAGTGTTACAAGATGAAGTGTAAATGTAACTGCAGCATGTACGTATTTCTTGGGATGTGTAATAAGTCAATATTATAAGTTCATATAACCAATGTCCATGAATAGCTGTTTCATTTTATTTTATAACTAAAACTGAATATATTATTTTAACAAAATTGGTAATATTTTTCGGTAAAATATATGCACACATTTCTGAAATGTCTTGGTCTTGGATTTGTCTTTTATGTCGTTGGATACAGAGAACAATGATATCTAACGATTCGCCAGGTGCGCGTTAGTCACAAACAATTTACGAATTATTCCTCTCATTTTGCATTATATAATCGATGGTTACATTATTTTTTCAATATTGTGATCACAGGATAGTAAACAGTTTACTTTATTTCTCCAGGAATTGTAAAATGTATAAAAATAAAACCCATGCCAGGTACCCCGTTGGTTCAAACGTATACGATTATCCTGATAATTCTATACCAATAGAGCGTTCTTTGCATCTTTTATTGTGTAAGAAAATATAACATAATCATGAACAAATATATGTCCAATATTGAATATAATTTTGGTTGTTTTGAAATATTCTTTGGGGAATTTCATTACGTAAATTGATGCCAAACAGGTGCGTGTCTTGTCCAATTAAGATACACAATAAACTATCTAATTGTTTACATATTCAAGACATTATTTACTTGGTGAGAGCAGTCATTTTATGTTGTGTCGAAAAAGCGTCAAATTCCGTTCCACACATCGAGATTTTCCACACCATGAACGAAAATTAGGGGAGATATATATTAATTAAAATACCAGTGTTGTCTTTTTCCGACGTTATCAAAGACATGAAACAAGCCATGACGTCAAAAGGAATCGTGTTATTTTTAGGGTATTTCATAACATTTGATGATAAGGCTTGTGCTCCATTAATAATGATGCAACATTAGTCAAATTACACTTACACAATCAGGAGAATGTTGGAATCTAAGGACTAAGTTATAGGTTAGATAAGGCCATCCATTTCTCTATTACCTCCTTTTTATGAAGTACGATTTCATCATTTCTTATGGGTATATTTTATAACTAAACGTGTACAGTTTCAATATCGATAATTGTGTTGGAATAGTTTGGTTCTTCCTGAACAAAACACCACGAAAATATATTGTCCTTACCCACAGCTAATTCTCACAAAGTGACCTGAGTTACAACAAACTAGAGCTAAGCAAAGCGGAGTTATGCCCCCTTTTCTTTGTACGTGTGTAACCTCTCTGTCACCTTTTGACGTCATAGAGAAAAATCAGTTTTCATCATTTACGGGATGCTATTTTGGGAATTGAATGTATGTCGTTATACATACGCATATAACTCCATTTGATATGTAGTTATGTCGTTCAGATAGTAGGCGGTATTTTGTTCGCTCACAGTTTCCGTAAAGCTTCTTAATAAAAATATTTGTCGCACAGTACTTTTATCGGCGTACGATAAAAAGCGGAGAAATTTACTGTTTTTCAACTCAGAATAAATTCTCGGACAACACTCAGGAGTGTCTTTTTTAAAAACCGGTTTGATATTTACAGTTAAATTTACACTATCAAATAAGAAATTTAATATTCTCCACCTCTGCGTAATTTTATAGCCAGAGGTAGATCCAGTGCCGCGTGAGCGCAATTCTCGCACAACCTTCACTTTTCCGATCTTAGGAAAATCTGTGTCAGAAAAAAACTCGGCATCCAGAGGGTAAGGCGGGGAAGTATACGGGAAACGTTAAATTTGTGGCATGTATGTCGACATGTTGGTTTATTTGAAATTTCAAGCCACGCATTTACGGAAACAAAACATACAAATCATGTGCGTCGAATGTTGATGCTATTCTTTTCCAGCAATAAGAGATACTTCAAAATCGTCTTTATGTAGTTAATTGATGCATCTGACCGTTTCTGGTCTTTAGCTGACATTATTAAACCATTCATGTGTAATCCGATGTCCTTTTTTCCTCAAGGACTAATTTTCTGATTTTCACGGTGCATACAAAAGAAGAACTGTGCACCGGAGATCGTAAATAACAGCATAATAAAAATTATGTTCTGAATATGCTTATTCATGAACAACGACGACATCTCAATTTAAATGTAATATGGCTGAATTCCATATTCTACATACCACACTTTTGATTGTTTGGATGCTCATGTTCACTGGAAATATTTGGAATAGTTATATTCCGTATTTTGAATTAACCCAGTGCCCCGTGTGTTTTTTTTAATCAGTGCACCGCACATAACCACATGTGAAACGTTTGGTAGCAAAGTCAAAGCAAAATCGGAGTAGTGTGTCAGCGAATTTGCATCAAGGCTGTAGTATTTTTCAACCGTTTAATGGAATTCAATGTACAGCCGTAGCTCTGGTCACTCATATATTTTGTGTCCCATAGCTCAAATCTATTTGCATCTGTACCGTGTTCCATTGACCTCGATAATCTGTTGGATGAAGGCACAGCTCTCTACAGCCACAAAGTTAACACCGAAGGCTATCATGTATGAGGAGTATTTAGGTCATAATCAGTTCCCAGCAGCCACTGCCTCAAGCGATATTGTCTACATAACAGATCAGTTTTATGGCTCCGTCACAGGTGCTCCAAATATTGAAGCAGGGAAAACAAATTTCATAGAATCATTTCAAAAAGCAATATTGATATCCCCGTCACTTTTGGTAACTTTAAATGATGTCTCCATTGCAGTTTTTACGGATTTCGATTCGTATGCATTATTTGACTGTCATCAGCGGAATGGTCTTGGTCAGATTGATCCGAATGGACAAGCGGTTTTACTTCTGTTTAGTAGTATGGATGAATTGTCATGTTACATCTTAACAGTATATATATCAGGCGACTATGCTTGTCTTAAGAGGCGTCGATCCCAATTGCGTGGATCGATGCTCATGATATTACAGGCACTGGATTGTCTGGTCCAGACTCGATTATTTACAGAACGCCGTCATATAGCTGGGATATTACTGAGTGCGGCGTTAAACGACAAACCAATCAATCATCATCATATGAACTCAAACCAGTCATTGTTACAAGTAAACCACATTCCACAACAGTTACTGACACTGGATAAAAAACAGTATATAGAAAAAAACCAAGTAACTCAACTCATCATGACCACAATTACTATTCTTTGAAAGAAAGAAATACACACAAAAAACTGACCAAAAAACGTAAAACAAGAGACGAGGAATCTCCGTTATCGATTAGTCCCGGTATTGAAATGTTCTCTAACTACGTGATAATATTTTGAGTATGTGCATCTGTGGTTGTGACAAAAAGACCTTATCTAGTATGACTTTTTTTGCCATATGGAGCCCTTAGTATTTTCATTTACATTATTATAACCAAATGCTAAGTGTAAAGAGAATGTGATCTATTTTTTGAGTATGTGCATCTGCCAATGTTGTTGGCAGTTTTGATACTATTTCCACATGTTTACATTTGTGCCACAAATTGCTTCGATTTCCTTCGATCTACTTTTTAAATAAAGACCCAGGTAAGAATAGGTCTTCAGCAACCTATGCTTGCCGTAAGAGGCGACGAACAGGATTGGGTAGTCAGGCTCGCCGATTTGGTCGATGCATAACATCATATTCCAATTGCGTATTTCGATGCTCTTGGTGTCAATCACTGGATGATCTGGTCCAGACTGGATTATTTACAGACCTCCGTCATATGGCTGGAATAATGCTGAGTGCGGCGTTAAACAAGAAACTATTTTTAAATAGACCTACCCTATGCAAATGTATCAACTGTATTGCCCAATACTCAAAATAAATAATATTTTTTTCCACAACAGCGTTGTGTTATTTGTGGTTAATATAATTATGCTCCATCATGCCTTTCAGTAACAACATAATTATGCGTTTGTGAGGCATCACATATGGCGGGGAACTTTGATGCTCTGCATCAATGTTTTCTTGTATATATAGGGGGAACATACTTGTTCACAGGGGCACCGGAGTGCACAGGGGCGTGTAACACAAGCAGAATAGCAGCTACAAGATATATGGTCACACCCAGTATCAGTATACTATGTAAAAGGATAATTTTATATAGTATAGTGATACTGGGTGTGACCATATGTCCTGTAGCTGCTATTTGTTTGCACGACAAGTCCCTGTGGCCGAGTGCAGCGTTATACACCAAGCATTACACGAGACCATGGTCGATTCACCTAGTTTCTATGCTCAAAACATCATTGTCGTTTGGCAGTAATGTGTGGATTTGTTAACGGTGATACAAGACGTGGTCGCCTGGTCAGTAATTTGAATTCCGGTGGCCCGGGCGTATGTGAATAGCGATTTTGGGGGGTGTTTGAGCTCGATTTATTAAAGCCCTTCTGATTAATCGATCGTGGACTTGTGTTGTTGAGCTAAGGGGCTCCCCGTGCGGGGCCGATCATTTAGATTTTGTGTCTGGCGTAACCTATACCAGAGTCTGCAAACCACAGACTTGGACACTTCAAAGATAATGGCTACCGATTTGAACCATGCCAGTAGCATTCCTACGATCTAGACGATGCATTCCTAATTTGATCTTACATAGTGAGTTAAAGCAAGAAAAGAGAGCTTATGTTACTGTGGATAGGACCGACCATTTGATATTCTAAGTGGAATACAACTGCAAAACCAGATATATATTTTTAATGAGCCTAAATATTTTTTTAGATAGAACATCTAGCAAAAACACACACTGTTCACTGACAGAATTATGTGTGTGTAGGACATTACGTATGTGTGAGGTAATAATACATATATGTTGGGAACAATTGCCTTTTTAATTGCCTGTGCCACATCACTAATGGGTAGTGAGTTGAATGCAGTAAAAAAACATGACCACGATATTGAAGAAAACATGTCTTTATTGTCAGCCCTTTCTCTCTCCACTTTAGAATTTATGACATTAATTTCTCCATGTACACAGCCTCCCTCATTATTGTACCTGTAGCAACAATTGCAGTTTCTCACGATACACTGAAACAAGTGGTCCATGTAGGTCTTGCAGCCGCCCCAATATGTGCGACACTCACGGCCCCGGATGTTTGCTGAGGTACAGGTTGTAGTTGAGGTAAATGAGCACAGCATTGATGACGTATGTGCCAATACAGACGATGCAGATATCACGCAGTACGAAGAAAAGGATGAAAGCCAGATACACACAACCAAGGCCCGCGATTACCGAGGTGTAGTAAAGAATATACGAGCACAGCACTTGGTTGGGAAGGAACGCTGTAATATAAAGCATGCTATTTCATATACTCGAACTTCGTGACAAGATAAAATTATGATTTGCCTGATCTTTTTAAACAAGCCAGGACATGTGCTAAACGCAATGATATTTATTAAGCATTGTTTATTTCTAAACCTTTTCGAACAGGAACAGGCTTATTTCAATGCCTGTCCGGACACTAAATGTTGAACAAAGATCGTCCAGATTCAGCAATACAGATGTTAACTGGTATAGTTTTGCTGTTTTCTTTTACTGACACTTCAGCATTTCCATACAGTAAAAGTTTAACATCATACCCTTTTACAGAATCATGTTGTACTCCTAGCTATGTCATAGATTGGGCATGTAAAACATGTACTATACTACCATACGAAATGAAGTAATGCATATTTCAGTACATATTCATGAAGACATCTCCTCGACTTTTAGGTTCACAATTTCACAATTCACCGCACAATCTGGTTGTTTGCGTTTTCTGGAAGCATGTTACTCCTACATGTAGCTGTCCTAACATAATCTTCAAAATTTCTCAGCCATATTTGGAGTCACCTTCTGCGAAATAACGCTTGCGAAAATCAACGTTTACTCGTTGTGGTTATGCTGCAAACAGGAATGGCGCAAAACGAAGTTCACAGATGTGTCCAGGTTTCATCTGGACAGAACTGGTGGTCGTGCAAGGGATTACAGGCGCCCAGAGAACGACGTCGTCAGTTTGGGGAGGGAGTGTAATGGTACAGGGTGGCATCACAAAGCATGTAAGAAGACAACTCATCATTGTTAATGGCAATTTGAATGACGTATCCTACCGGTATACAATAACTCTGTATTTCAGCCAAGCTTCCAAAATTAAGAAAATATACAGCTCGTTTTTTGACACGCCCTAATCCTTTCGCGTACTATGAAATAGTCAGCCGCGACTAGCTGCAAAATTGCTGACGAGCCGTAAAGCAATAATCACCCTCTCTCTCTAGATGGTCACTAAAGCCACGAATTGACGATTGTTACTGACGGTAATGTAATCAAGCAATTAGAGGACGCTGATTGTGTAAACATCATCGTAAACAGTGGCTTAAACTTGTTTTCCCCAGGCATGATTGTTTACTGTCCTCATATACTGTGGAGTACAGCAGACAACATCCATACACTCCTTCTCTTACAGGTAGAACACACAGCGTGCCTGTGACAATCTCTTACAGGTAGAACACACAGCGTGCCTGTGACAATCTCTTACAGGTAGAACACACAGCGTGCCTGGGACAATCTCTTACAGGTAGAACACACAGCGTGCCTGGGACAATCTGTGACAGACCCGCACAACAATCTGTGACAGGTACTTCACACAGCGTGCCTGGGACAAGCTGTGACAGATACGCACAACTCACCTGGGACCATCTGTGACAGGTAGTTCACACAGCGTGCCTGGGACAAGCTGTGACAGGTAGTTCACACAGTGTGCCTGGGACAAGCTGTGACAGGTAGTTCACACAGTGTGCCTGGGACAAGCTGTGACAGATACGCACAACTCACCTGGGTCAATCTGTGACAGGTAGTTCACACAGCGTGCCTGGGACAAGCTGTGACAGGTAGTTCACACAGTGTGCCTGGGACAAGCTGTGACAGATACGCACGACTCACCTGGGACAAGCTGTGACAGGTAGTTCACACAGTGTGCCTGGGACAAGCTGTGACAGGTAGTTCACACAGTGTGCCTGGGACAATCTGTGACAGATACGCACGACTCACCTGGGACAAGCTGTGACAGGTAGTTCACACAGTGTGCCTGGGACAAGCTGTGACAGGTAGTTCACACAGCGTGCCTGGGACAAGCTGTGACAGGTAGTTCACACAGTGTGCCTGGGACAAGCTGTGACAGGTAGTTCACACAGTGTGCCTGGGACAAGCTGTGACAGATACGCACAACTCACCTGGGACAATCTATGAGAGGTAGTTCACACAGTGTGCCTGGGACAAGCTGTGACAGGTAGATTACACAGTGTGCCTGGGACAAGCTGTGACAGGTAGTTCACACAGTGTGCCTGGGACCATCTGTGACAGGTAGTTCACACAGTGTGCCTGGGACAAGCTGTGACAGGTAGTTCACACAGTGTGCCTGGGACAAGCTGTGACAGGTAGTTCACACAGTGTGCCTGGGACAAGCTGTGACAGATACGCACAACTCACATGGGTCAATCTGTGACAGGTAGTTCACACAGTGTGCCTGGGACAAGCTGTGACAGGTAGTTCACACAGTGTGCCTGGGACAAGCTGTGACAGATACGCACGACTCACCTGGGACAAGCTGTGACAGGTAGTTCACACAGTGTGCCTGGGACAAGCTGTGACAGGTAGAACACACAGCGTGCCTGGGACAATCTCTTACAGGTAGAACACACAGTGTGCCTGGGACAAGCTGTGACAGGTAGTTCACACAGTGTGCCTGGGACAAGCTGTGACAGATACGCACAACTCACCTGGGACAATCTATGAGAGGTAGTTCACACAGTGTGCCTGGGACAAGCTGTGACAGGTAGTTCACACAGTGTGCCTGGGACAAGCTGTGACAGGTAGTTCACACAGTGTGCCTGGGACAAGCTGTGACAGGTAGTTCACACAGCGTGCCTGGGACAAGCTGTGACAGGTAGTTCACACAGTGTGCCTGGGACAAGCTGTGACAGATACGCACAACTCACCTGGGTCAATCTGTGACAGGTAGTTCACACAGTGTGCCTGGGACAAGCTGTGACAGGTAGTTCACACAGTGTGCCTGGGACAAGCTGTGACAGATACGCACGACTCACCTGGGACAAGCTGTGACAGGTAGTTCACACAGTGTGCCTGGGACAAGCTGTGACAGGTAGTTCACACAGTGTGCCTGGGACAATCTGTGACAGATACGCACGACTCACCTGGGACAATCTGTGACAGTTAGTTCACACAGCGTGCCTGGGACAAGCTGTGACAGTTATGCACAACTCACCTGGGACAATCTGTGACAGGTAGGACACACGACTCAACTGGGACAATCTGTGACAGGTAGTTCACACAGCGTGCCTGGGACAATCTGTGACAGGTAGTTCACACAGCGTGCCTGGGACAAGCTGTGACAGAGGTAGTTCAGAGGTAGTGTGAGAGGTAGGACACACGACTCAACTGGGACAATCTGTGAAAGGTAGGACACACGACTCACCTGGGACAATCTGTGAGAGGTAGGACACTAAAATCATCTGGGACAATCTGTGACAGGTAACACAACTCACCTGGGACAATCTGTGAGAGGTAGGACACAGGACTCACCTGGGACAATCTGTGAGAGGTAGAACACACGGCTCACCTGGGACAATCTGTGACAGGTATCACAACTCACCTAAGACAATCTGTGAGAGGTAGGTCACATGACACAACTCGGACAATCTGTGAGAGGTAGGTCACACGACACAACTGGGACAATCTGTGAGAGGTAGGACACACGATCCACCTGGGACAATCTGTGAGAGGTATACAGATACGCACAACAATCTGTGACATGTAGTTCACACAGCGTGCCTGGGACAACCTGTGAGAGGTAGGACACACGACTCACCTGGGACAATCTGTGAGAGGTAGGACACACGACTCACCTGGGACAATCTGTGAGCGGTAGGACACACGGCTCACCTGGGACAATCTGTGATAGATACGCACAACTCACCTGGGACAATCTGTGACAGGTAGGACACACAACTCAACTGGGACAATCTGTAACACATAACACAACTCACTTAGGACAATCTGTGAGAGGTAGGACACACGACTCACCTGGGATAATCTGTGAGAGGTAGGACACACGACTCACCTGGGACAATCTGTGATAGGTAGGACACACGACTCACCTGGGACAATCTGTGAGAGGTAGGACACAGGACTCACCTGGGACAATCTGTGAGAGGTAGGACACACGACTCACCTGGGACAATCTGTGAGAGGTAGGACACACGACTCACCTGGGACAATCTGTGAGAGGTAGGACACACGACTCACCTAGGACAACCTGTGAGAGGTAGGACACACGACTCACCTGGGACAATCTGTGAGAGGTAGGACACATGACTCACCTGGGACAATCTGTGAGAGGTAAAACAACTCACCTGGGACAATCTGTGAGAGGTAGGACACACGTCTTACCTGGGACAATCTGTGATAGGTAGGACACACGACTCACCTGGGACAATCTGTGAGAGGTAGGACACAGGACTCACCTAGGACAATCTGTGAGAGGTAGGACACATGACTCACCTGGGACAATCTGTGAGAGGTAAAACAACTCACCTGGGAAAATCTGTGAGAGGTAGGACACACGACTCACCTGGGACAATCTGTGAGAGGTAGGACACACGACTCACCTGGGACAATCTCTTAGCGGTAGGACACACGACTCACCTGGGACAATCTGTGATAGATACGCACAACTCACCTGGGACAATCTGTGACAGGTAGGACACACGACTCAACTGGGACAATCTGTGACACATAACACAACTCACCTGGGACAACCTGTGAGAGGTAGGACACACGACTCACCTGGGAAAATCTGTGAGAGGTAGGACACACGACTCACCTGGGACAATCTGTGAGAGGTAGGACACACGACTCACCTGGGACAATCTCTGAGCGGTAGGACACACGACTCACCTGGGACAATCTGTGATAGATACGCACAACTCACCTGGGACAATCTGTGACAGGTAGGACACACGACTCAACTGGGACAATCTGTGACACATAACACAACTCACCTAGGACAACCTGTGAGAGGTAGGTCACATGACACAACTGGAACAATCTGAAATAGGTAGGTCACATGACACAACTGGGACAATCTGTGAGAGGTAGGACACACGACTCACCTGGGACAATCTGTGAGAGGTAGTTCACACAGCGTGCCTGGGACAAGCTGTGACAGATACGCACAACTCACCTGGGACAATCTGTGAGAGGTAGAACACACGGCTCACCTGGGACAATATGTGACAGGTAACACAACTCACCTGGGACAATCTGTGAGCGGTAGGACACACGACCCACCTGGGACAATCTTTGAGACGTTACGCAACTCACCAAGGACAATCTGTGACAGGTATCACAACTCACCTAGGACAATCTGTGAGAGGTAGGTCACATGACACAACTGGGACAATCTGTGAGAGGTAGGTCACACGACACAACATGGACAATCTGTAAGAGATCCACCTGGGACAATCTGTGAGAGGTAGGACACACGACTCAACTGGGACAATCTGACACATAACACAACTCACCTAGGACAACCTGTGAGAGGTAGGACACACGATCCACCTGGGACAATCTGTTAGAGGTATACAGATACGCACAACAACCTGTGACAGGTAGTTCACACAGCGTGCCTGGGACAAGCTGTGACAGGTAGTTCACACAGTGTGCCTGGGACAAGCTGTGACAGGTAGTTCACACAGTGTGCCTGGGACAAGCTGTGACAGGTAGTTCACACAGTGTGCTTCGGACAAGCTGTGACAGATACGCACAACTCACCTGGGTCAATCTGTGACAGGTAGTTCACACAGTGTGCCTGGGACAAGCTGTGACAGGTAGTTCACACAGTGTGCCTGGGACAAGCTGTGACAGATACGCACGACTCACCTGGGACAAGCTGTGACAGGTAGTTCACACAGTGTGCCTGGGACAAGCTGTGACAGGTAGTTCACACAGCGTGCCTGGGACAAGCTGTGACAGGTAGTTCACACAGTGTGCCTGGGACAAGCTGTGACAGGTAGTTCACACAGTGTGCCTGGGACAAGCTGTGACAGATACGCACAACTCACATGGGTCAATCTGTGACAGGTAGTTCACACAGTGTGCCTGGGACAAGCTGTGACAGGTAGTTCACACAGTGTGCCTGGGACAAGCTGTGACAGATACGCACGACTCACCTGGGACAAGCTGTGACAGGTAGTTCACACAGTGTGCCTGGGACAAGCTGTGACAGGTAGTTCACACAGTGTGCCTGGGACAATCTGTGACAGATACGCACGACTCACCTGGGACAATCTGTGACAGTTAGTTCACACAGCGTGCCTGGGACAAGCTGTGACAGTTATGCACAACTCACCTGGGACAATCTGTGACAGGTAGGACACACGACTCAACTGGGACAATCTGTGACAGGTAGTTCACACAGCGTGCCTGGGACAATCTGTGACAGGTAGTTCACACAGCGTGCCTGGGACAAGCTGTGACAGAGGTAGTTCAGAGGTAGTGTGAGAGGTAGGACACACGACTCAACTGGGACAATCTATGAAAGGTAGGACACACGACTCACCTGGGACAATCTGTGAGAGGTAGGACACTAAAATCATCTGGGACAATCTGTGACAGGTAACACAACTCACCTGGGACAATCTGTGAGAGGTAGGACACAGGACTCACCTGGGACAATCTGTGAGAGGTAGAACACACGGCTCACCTGGGACAATCTGTGACAGGTATCACAACTCACCTAAGACAATCTGTGAGAGGTAGGTCACATGACACAACTCGGACAATCTGTGAGAGGTAGGTCACACGACACAACTGGGACAATCTGTGAGAGGTAGGACACACGATCCACCTGGGACAATCTGTGAGAGGTATACAGATACGCACAACAATCTGTGACATGTAGTTCACACAGCGTGCCTGGGACAACCTGTGAGAGGTAGGACACACGACTCACCTGGGACAATCTGTGAGAGGTAGGACACACGACTCACCTGGGACAATCTGTGAGCGGTAGGACACACGGCTCACCTGGGACAATCTGTGATAGATACGCACAACTCACCTGGGACAATCTGTGACAGGTAGGACACACAACTCAACTGGGACAATCTGTAACACATAACACAACTCACTTAGGACAATCTGTGAGAGGTAGGACACACGACTCACCTGGGATAATCTGTGAGAGGTAGGACACACGACTCACCTGGGACAATCTGTGATAGGTAGGACACACGACTCACCTGGGACAATCTGTGAGAGGTAGGACACAGGACTCACCTGGGACAATCTGTGAGAGGTAGGACACACGACTCACCTGGGACAATCTGTGAGAGGTAGGACACATGACTCACCTGGGACAATCTGTGAGAGGTAAAACAACTCACCTGGGACAATCTGTGAGAGGTAGGACACACGTCTTACCTGGGACAATCTGTGATAGGTAGGACACACGACTCACCTGGGACAATCTGTGAGAGGTAGGACACAGGACTCACCTAGGACAATCTGTGAGAGGTAGGACACATGACTCACCTGGGACAATCTGTGAGAGGTAAAACAACTCACCTGGGAAAATCTGTGAGAGGTAGGACACACGACTCACCTGGGACAATCTGTGAGAGGTAGGACACACGACTCACCTGGGACAATCTCTTAGCGGTAGGACACACGACTCACCTGGGACAATCTGTGATAGATACGCACAACTCACCTGGGACAATCTGTGACAGGTAGGACACACGACTCAACTGGGACAATCTGTGACACATAACACAACTCACCTGGGACAACCTGTGAGAGGTAGGACACACGACTCACCTGGGAAAATCTGTGAGAGGTAGGACACACGACTCACCTGGGACAATCTGTGAGAGGTAGGACACACGACTCACCTGGGACAATCTCTGAGCGGTAGGACACACGACTCACCTGGGACAATCTGTGATAGATACGCACAACTCACCTGGGACAATCTGTGACAGGTAGGACACACGACTCAACTGGGACAATCTGTGACACATAACACAACTCACCTAGGACAACCTGTGAGAGGTAGGTCACATGACACAACTGGAACAATCTGAAATAGGTAGGTCACATGACACAACTGGGACAATCTGTGAGAGGTAGGACACACGACTCACCTGGGACAATCTGTGAGAGGTAGTTCACACAGCGTGCCTGGGACAAGCTGTGACAGATACGCACAACTCACCTGGGACAATCTGTGAGAGGTAGAACACACGGCTCACCTGGGACAATATGTGACAGGTAACACAACTCACCTGGGACAATCTGTGAGCGGTAGGACACACGACCCACCTGGGACAATCTTTGAGACGTTACGCAACTCACCAAGGACAATCTGTGACAGGTATCACAACTCACCTAGGACAATCTGTGAGAGGTAGGTCACATGACACAACTGGGACAATCTGTGAGAGGTAGGTCACACGACACAACATGGACAATCTGTAAGAGATCCACCTGGGACAATCTGTGAGAGGTAGGACACACGACTCAACTGGGACAATCTGACACATAACACAACTCACCTAGGACAACCTGTGAGAGGTAGGACACACGATCCACCTGGGACAATCTGTTAGAGGTATACAGATACGCACAACAACCTGTGACAGGTAGTTCACACAGCGTGCCTGGGACAAGCTGTGACAGGTAGTTCACACAGTGTGCCTGGGACAAGCTGTGACAGGTAGTTCACACAGTGTGCCTGGGACAAGCTGTGACAGGTAGTTCACACAGTGTGCTTCGGACAAGCTGTGACAGATACGCACAACTCACCTGGGTCAATCTGTGACAGGTAGTTCACACAGTGTGCCTGGGACAAGCTGTGACAGGTAGTTCACACAGTGTGCCTGGGACAAGCTGTGACAGATACGCACGACTCACCTGGGACAAGCTGTGACAGGTAGTTCACACAGTGTGCCTGGGACAAGCTGTGACAGGTAGTTCACACAGCGTGCCTGGGACAAGCTGTGACAGGTAGTTCACACAGTGTGCCTGGGACAAGCTGTGACAGGTAGTTCACACAGTGTGCCTGGGACAAGCTGTGACAGATACGCACAACTCACCTGGGACAATCTAAGAGAGGTAGTTCACACAGTGTGCCTGGGACAAGCTGTGACAGGTAGTTCACACAGTGTGTCTGGGACAAGCTGTGACAGTTAGTTCACACAGTGTGCCTGGGACAAGCTGTGACAGGTAGTTCACACAGTGTGCCTGGGACAAGCTGTGACAGGTAGTTCACACAGTGTGCCTGGGACAAGCTGTGACAGGTAGTTCACACAGTGTGCCTGGGACAAGCTGTGACAGATACGCACAACTCACCTGGGTCAATCTGTGACAGGTAGTTCACACAGCGTGCCTGGGACAAGCTGTGACAGGTAGTTCACACAGTGTGCCTGGGACAAGCTGTGACAGATACGCACGACTCACCTAGGACAACCTGTGAGAGGTAGGACACACGACTCACCTGGGACAATCTGTGAGAGGTAGGACACACGACTCACCTGGGACAATCTGTGAGAGGTGACACAACTCACCTGGGACAATCTGTGACAAGCAACACAACTCACCTGGGACAATCTATGACAGGTAACACAACTCACCTGGGACCATCTGTGACAGGCGACACAGTTCACCCAGGACAATATGTGACAAGCAACACAAGTCACCTATCTGGGACAATCTATGACAGGTAACACAACTCACCTGGAACAATCTGTGACAGGTGACACAATTCACCCAGGACAATCTGTGACAAGCAACACAACTCACCTGGGACAATCTGTGACAGGTAACACAACTCACCTAGGACAATCTGTGAGAGGTAGAACAAGATCCCGACGGTACAGTTGCGTTGATTCAGGAAGTGATCTTTGCCCACCAGTAAACGTACTATTCCAAATCCTTTCCCGTACCTGCCAATGTCATAGAATAGACGTATCTGCATCTTTATTTTTATACTCTGGGTGTCACTTATCTGAGAACAAACTGATAATACATATTTACTCCTCATCATTTATCCTTCTTGAAAACTTTTTTTTGAAAGACGAGGTAGTTCAAAATCTAATTAGGTTCTCCTTCAGAGGTTCTTTTGAAAACCCTTCAGACGAATACGGATAGTCCTATAGAAACAATATTCAAATATACATATACATAGTGCCATGAGGTTACCTGGTTATGTATGTCAACAGTTCAAAATGTCAACGGATATCACATTAAATAGTCATATTGCTGTCGGCTTTGGAAACTGACAAGAATTTCCATATCCGACAATGTCTATGCCAAGTTAAAATTACGAATACCTACAGAAATATAGGGATAATGTAGAGACCACTGCAGTTAATACTGAATCAATAGTTACATATACTGAACAACAAAAGCTCCTGTGACATTGAATAAGATTTAATGCAAAGTTATGTTTTTTACCAAATCTGAAACAATTTCAGTTTGCAACAGATAAAAGACTCATGTAAGTGTTCAAATGGTTTAATTTGCCATACTGACTTCAGAAAATGCGTGAATTCATAAAAAAAAACCCATGAACATGCCAAAATGTCAATTTACAAATCAATGGCGTGTGTGTCCAGCTCTGGTTGCGATGCAAGCAACACATCTTCGTCTCGTGGAATGGACCAGGCGTCGCACAAAGTCCTGTGGGATATCTGACCATATCTGCTGGAGCATGTTTCGAAGTTCCTGGAGTGTCTGTGGACCACGTGGTTGACGTCGAAGGCGCCGATCCATCTCATCCCACATGTGCTCGATTGGTGAGAGATCAGGGGAGCGAGCCGGCCAGGGGATGACATTCACGTTGTTTTGTTGAAGAGAATCCTGAACAAGTCGAGCAATATGTACCGGGCGTTGTCATATTGAAAGGTAATGCCTGGGCCATGACGACGGCAAAAACAGGGCCGATGATCTCGTCACGGTAGCGCTGTCCATTGAGATTTCCCTCTACCATTATCAAACGGGTGTAATCCGTTGCTGTAATCCCACCCCATACCATAACGCTGCCGCCCCCGAACCGATCTTCTTCCATGACGCAGTGATTGACGTAACGTTCACCTCGACGTCTGTACACTCGAATCCGTCCATCGCTGTGGCTGAGGTGAAAACGAGACTCCTAAGTGAATAGAACTTGTCCCCACTGCATGGTCGTCCAGCGTAGACGGTGTCTGCACCACTGTAGACGTGCTTGACGGTGGTTTCCTGTCAAAATGGGACGTCTGGCGGGTCTTCTGGCGACAATCCCTGCACATCTGAGGCGACGACGTACGGTTTGTGATGATATTCGTCGACGGCCAGGGATGCTTCTTGCAGTCACTGTTGCTGGCTGGAATCGATTTCGTAGTGTGTTGTACGAATCCAGTTGTCTTGTCGATTATTGGTTACGCGTGGCCTGCCACTCCAAAGATGGACTCTGACTGCATTCGTCTGTTGCCAACGTTGCCATAAACACCAAATGGTGTTTCTGTGGACGTTAAATTGTCTTGCAACAACACGTTAACTCGATCCTGCTTCAAGCATACCAATGGCTCGCAGACGCTCATTTTCGGACAGGCGTGTCATTTCGTAATGTTGAATAATTGCGTAATTTTGTTGTTTTTCTGAGTGGTTGTTGTCAGCACGATGCTAAACAATGCATATGGAATCCCGTCAACGCACATGTTTTTATACCCATTCATGGGTAGTGAAATGCATGGGGCTTGCATAAAGGTCAACTTTTGCATGGAATGCATGCTTTTCTGTAGCAGTTACGTTTTTGTGACTTGATTCCATACATGTACTACAATATTGAAAACCAAACTTTACTTGTTTGAAAAATACACTAAAATATTGGTGTCACAGGAACCTTTGTTGTTGAGTATAGTTGTAAACTGACAATACATGACGTGGATTTACGTTACATCTCACTAAAATAGATGTTTCATATAATAAAATATCCAGATGTTTGGTATGGGAAGTAGTACACATTTTCTTCACATGTGGCCATTTTATGAGTGACGGATTGCAAACAGGGCTACAGTGGACACGTGTAAAATTTGAAGCCAATACACGGAAAAGGTCAAGGTCAAGGGGGAACTCTTTTTACACTCTTCCAAAAAAGAAACGCACAGGTAGATTTTTAGAAAATTTATTGTACCTAATAAAGTCGATATGTGTTTTGGCAAGATGGCGGACGGGTGAAAAGGGGGTGTTTCAGGTCTCTCAATGCGCTTTGTGTGAACTGAGTTTATACCTACATTAGGAGTTCAAACTAACTGACTGCAGAAATGGGAATATCTGTGGAGCAATTCCGTGCAAGGGTTGGATTGTTTGCACCTGTTTATATACAGATTCTGACGAAAATCAGTCGACGTGCTGCTGCGTCCCGCCCTCCGAGACGGTTAGTAATGGTGGGCCTCGCTACCCGTTTGACTGTACTGAATCTGATACTCATGCTGCTACTACGTGCCAGGGTAGAACAGAATCCAGGTCCTGGGCCACGTACAGGGATCAGAGATGACCAGGGACCCATTACCCGAGGTAATCCTCGCCAGTTACGTTTGACAACAGAGGGTGATTCTGTAAATCTTTATTCAGTCATGGACGCCTTAAGCAAGCTCACAGACAAGGTTGACGATGTCATGAAATCGAACATTGAGTTCGGGTGTAAACTTGATAAGATTGACTCAACTCTTGTATCTGTTACTACTCATCTCGCCGAGGTGAAATTAAAATGTGAGAAATTGGAATCGGAAAATGAGAAACTAAGAAAATATGTGGATAATCTTGAAGATAAGGTTGATTACCTCGAGAATCAGAGCAGACGATGCAATATTGTCTTCCACGGCGTAGACAGGGCGGCGGATGGCGGAACATGGGATGACTGTGAGAATGTAGTGCGTGAGATCATTGAGGATAAAATGGAACTGGATGAATCGCATGTTGTTATACACAGAGCCCACAGAATCATCAATGGAAAAGCGATCATAGCAAAGATACCGGACGATCATGATAGGAAACGGATTTACGAAGCGGCAAAGAAACTTAAGAGTTTCAATATGTGGATTGATGATTTTTCAAGATTGGTCAGGGAAAAGCGGAAAAAGCGGAAAAAACTTAAACCTATGATGACGAAAGCCAGGGAAGAAAATCGTAGAGCGGTTCTGCGCTTTGATAAACTGATTATTGATGACCAGGTTTTCACGTACGATGTCGACAAGGATAGTGTGATAGAATTAGACCGGCGTCGGGATTCCCGATCTGCACGTGCAGACACTCAGCAGAATGTCAACACGAATTCACGTGACACTATAGTCTGGAAGTTAATTTAAGGTACCGACGTTTACTACAATATCTGAAAAACTATCGGACCTACTCCAGTCAAAGTTGGTATGAGATTATTAAACAGTCATACATAACTGGATATTACATTTAAAGACAATCGATGCATGAATAAAAAATCTGTCTATTTAGCTATCACTATATTTCATCAACAACCACACCTGTTCGTCACAGGTGGAACGAGCATTCATTGTAACAGCCATCTGCATAATGCTACCCCTGCGTCACAGGGCCATATGACAGTTGAACCAATCAACTCAACTCGAAAGGTTGCACGGGAATCACACACACACGAATACAGTGTTACCGTTGGGTGTCTCAAGCAGTTATTTAATAATATTTATCCAATTATTTTTGCATTCTTTTTCAGGTCAGTGTTATTGACTTGAATGTATCATTCCTTGCCACATTATTATAATTCATGCATCATGTTATTAGGAGTAATATATCATACGTAATTGTTCATTTAGACAAATCATTGCTTTATGGTTTCGAAGATAATATTTTAATATTTTCTTAGATGATTCGAGACTTTCGGGGCTGTTTCGGGTGAAAGAGAATCAAATTCTGAGCCAAGAATTGCACAAAGTGGACAAGATCCGATTACGACATGTACTACAAAGCACGAACCTGAAATTCGTAGACGATTCCTAGAAATTCTTTGATAAACAATTTTTTTCTCACGAATCCCACGAACTACAAGAATGTTTGGGAATCAAATATGATATATTTAAGATTCTTAAGAAATGATTAACAATATGTACGAATATGTTAGAATTCATATCCGTGGTAATTCGGGCTATTACATGTCGTAGTGAAACAGGGGTATATGTTTTGAACTATTCTTGGTCCCACGAAATGCCCTCATTGTCAGATTCAGAGTCTGTGCTGTCACCTAAATGAACAACAACAGGCTGGACAGTATCTGGTCGGATACAGTCTTGTTTCCAATACTCTTCCTCAACTTTGATAACATGTTGGACACAGTTTGCCCAACGTACATCTGTAATTTCTCCCATCCCTTTCAAGACAATCTGCTTGACGTCGGCAAGCTTGAAGGTCTTATTTTGCCGTACGACCATATTTTTCAAATCACCCCAGATTAGTTCGATGGGATTCAAGTCACAATGGTAAGGAGGAAGTCTAAGCACTTCGTGACCGTGTTCTCTCAACATGTTGTCAAACAAATAAGAGGGCGGGGGTTTGTTCTGAAGAACCAGTTGGTAGTAGTCCGGTTTTTTGGCTTCCGTGGTCCGAGCAATGCGGTTGTTGTCCAACCACTGACATATCTCACCTTTGGTGGAATTTGAGGTTGGACAACGGTTAATAGGATCTCGACAACTGTGATAGGGAGCATTGTCCATAACCACAGTGCTAAGAGGAGCTGCTTCTCAACACGCAGTGAAAACCTGACTATTCATCTCGGTATGGTAGTCTCTGCCATCTGTAGATCTGGATCTGAACACTAGATCTCACCCAGGGAGGAAACCTCTGTGGGAGGCTGCATGGAGGTCAATCAGACGCTCCCCTTTACCAGGGGGGGTCTTGCGCTGTGGCTCTCTGGTATCTGGGTGAGACCATTGGTAAG